TTCAGTGCGACAAATATTCCATAATATTCCTTCATTTTTAAGTTTTGTCAACTCAAATATTCAAGTTGTCACTTAGTACAACTTCAGATTTCAAGGCAGCATTAACACTTACTTGTGTTGAAACAATGTGAAGTTGAAACAATAATTGGTCAATATTTTGTCAATATATCAGTATGGCTGTTTAATAAGAGAGTGAATTTGTACTTACATTCAGCCCATCTTGCATTTTTTTTCTGCATTGGTCTAAACAGACAAATTGCATGCCAAACATTTGTGTTGGTGTGAACAGGCCTTCACTCTTGAAATGTCACAGTTGTTTTTGGAGGCAGGGTCACAGTGAGGGCAGAGGGGAGAGATTTAACAAAAGACTAAAGGGTGCGGCGTCAGCCTGAGCTTTTGGAGTGTGCTTGACTCTTGGGTCTCTCTCTCTAAAGCTGTAATTACAGTCGAGACATCCAGATGAGCCGTGCGGCACAGCTCAGTGCACTTCGAGTGTCCTCTCTCCTCAGCGGCCAGCTATACTGGCCAGAATCCTATGTCCACTCCACATTTAAGCCAGCGGTTTGCCTGCTGTATGATTCAAAGTCACTGTTGCGTAGACAGCAGAGGGCATATGCTAACAGATGGTAATATCACTGACTTCCCAGCACAGAAAGGACAAGTTCTAGAGCAAAAGAAGAGTTTTTTTCGGCGCGAACGTAAGAGGAATAAATGAAATCCCGTGGGTCAGGATATGCAGTTATTAGCGAGCCCTTTCTCTGCTGAGTCCAGGCACACAGACGCCCCTGCTTCCTGTTCCTTTGCTATTTATACATTCATACACATCTTTAATCATTTATAGTGCAGGGAGAGGAGTGAGTGGGTTAATGAAACGGATGTAAGCTCTTGGAAGGCTTGCTTGGCGCTGGTTTTGGCGGTTAATCATATTGTAATCTTGATTCTGTCTCCACACGTGAACCTCTGCTTGGATGGTGTGAGTGGATGAGAACAACAATCGACCTGAAAGGTCAGAGGTCACCAGTGTGCGAGTAGTGAATGGAGTTTAATTGGCACAGCTCTTGAGCCATGTCTGTCTGCGTCACAGTTCTCCTCTCTGTGCTGCATCTGCAGAAAATTGACTCGTTGTCCCTAAGAAGCCACTCCAAGCAAATGAACCGTTACCTCACAGGAACACTGTGCCCTTTCACAGAGCTGCATTCTTACTCAACCTTGACTGGGATCAAATGAACAAAATCTGTCCTTGGACAAATCAAATTGTCTAGGTCTTTTAGTTTCACACTAAATCAAACATTAAAAGAGAAGAATTATTGTTTTAGTCCGAAATAAATCTTTTAAAGCGCATGCAAACATACAGTTCTGACTTATTACAGTTCGTACTAACCATACACCATACACACGAAGACACAAAATGTACGTGTTTAGCTCAATTGTAACTATGCATGTAAACACATGCATTGTTAATCAATTTTGTCATTTTGCAGCTTTAAACAAAAGACATGCATGCCAACAGTTTAACCTGTTTAGGTTGTGTACCTGTGAGCAATTCTTGATTCATCTAAAATTAGCAACCTGGGATGCTTTATTGTTCTGAAAATGTCACCATTAGTAAACTGCTATCGGTAGAGGCGTCATGTTTTGTCTATACTTGTTAAGCTGCTGCTAAGTAGTGTGTTCTTTGGGCCGTAATGTATGGATGGCCCCTTGACCTCAGGGCTTGTGGGAGCAGCTACAGCCTCTGTCTCACACTAATTATGTCACTACATTAACAAGTAGTTGTTATCCAAACCTCTTAACCCCTAGCTATGTCTGGTGTGCGACCAGATAAGGTCACCTCCCAACACAGACCTCCGTGTAGAGATAGCAGCCCTGTGCCGGTCGAACGGGAGACAGCCATACACTCTTCCTCTGAATTCTTGATAAAGCTGTGTCTGGGCTTCTCAGGAAGTAGGATATAAGGGTTTGTTGTGCTAGAGATTATGCGGCTGACGATGTAGCAATATGGAAGCTACTCCAATAAACATTTCCCCTGTTGTCAAAAATGACACTTACACTGTGTCTATATCAGACACGAACAGCGAAAACAAAAGCACTTACATAATTATCAATGGCTCTGTTTAAAAGCTAAAAGCTAAAAGACCTGCTGCATGTTGCAGATGATATGATAACAAAATATATTTTTGACAACAAAAAGATAAAACAATACACTGCTATCTTTATTTGATCTTTATTTCTTGACTGTTTTCTTGAATATTTACAATGAATCAAAATACTTCTCAAATTTTACAACTATTTAAAAAAAAAAATTATTCCCTATGTTGCATGTTCTTACTGTAGTAATAACAGAAAATTATGCATAATTACAATGCAACAAACCCTAAACCAAACCCTATTCTTATTTTTAACCCTAACCATCTATCAAGTACATGTTAATAATTAATATTACTCAGTAATTAAGTATATAATTACACTGAAACAATGACACCTTAAAGTCCCCATGAAATCAAAATTTAGTTTATACATTTATAGTTTATAAGCCAATAAAGTTTTTTGGCTTTTAGTATATGTTAGCCTTACTATTATCTATAGGTAATAAGGTAGTGTGCTCCAAAACAATGACAAAGTTCACATTTAGTCTCTCACTTCCGCAAATATGGATAAATGATTTTGATGACATCACTCTGCACTTCAGCTTCTCATCAGATTTTCTGTCCAATCAAATGCTCTCTAGAATCTAAAGCATCCCACATTATAAATAGACGCTGAAGCTGCAGCTAAAGCATGCTATTTTCTACATTGTGAATGGCACATAGCGCACTATTTAGGGGATAGCGAACAATCCAGACAGTGTAAATATGCTTTCCATTGGGGTGAATGAAGTCTAGTTTCACTATAGTGTCGCGTGAATCGCCGCAGCTCTGGTCCAGAGACATGATAGCACAGAGCGGATCATATGAGCGAGTCAGCGCAGACCACAAAACGTATGCTATCTGACCCATTTGAATTCTGTATAGAATGCTATATTTTAAAGCGATGGAGGAGATTAGGAGGAGAAACAGTTTGAGATTAGGAGGAACAGTGGCTTTACCAAGCTGTGATATAAACGAAACGCTATTTGCAGAAAATCACATTGTATGATTTTTAAGTAATTCATTTGCATTTCATTGCATGACATAAGTATTTGATACATCAGAAAAGCAGACCTTAATATTTGGTACAGAAACCTTTGTTTACAATTACAGAGATCATACGTTTCCTGTAGTTCTTGACCAGGTTTGCACACACTGCAGCAGGGATTTTGGCCCACTCCTCCATACAGACCTTCTCCAGATCCTTCAGGTTTCTGGGCTGTCGCTGAGAAACACGGAGTTTGAGCTCCCTCCAAAGATTTTCTATTGAGTTAAGGTCTGGAGACTGGCTAGGCCTCTCCAGGACCTTGAGATGCTTCTTACGGAGCCACTCCTTAGTTGCCCTGGCTGTGTGTTTCGAGTCGTTGTCATGCTGGAAGACCCAGCCACGACCCATCTTCAATGCTCTTACTGAGGGAAGGAGGTTGTTGGGCAAGATCTTGCGATACATGGCCCCATCTATACTCCCCTCAATACAGTGCAGTCGTCCTGTCCCCTTTTCAGAAAAGCATCCCCAAAGAATGATGTTTCCACCTCCATGCTTCACGGTCGGGATGGTGTTCTTGGGGTTGTACTCATCCTTCTTCTTCCTCCAAACACAGCGAGTGGATTTTAGACCAAAAAGATCTATCTTTGTCTCATCAGACCACATGACCTTCTCCCATTCCTCCTCTGGATCATCCCGATGGTCATTGGCAAACTTCAGACGGGCCTGGACATGCGCTGGCTTGAGCAGGGGGACCTTGCGTGCGCTGCAGGATTTTAATTCTTGACGGCGCAGTGTGTTACTAATGGTTGTCTTTGAGACTGTGGTCCCAGCTCTCTTCAGGTCATTGACTAGGTCCTGCCATGTAGTTCTGGGCTGATCCCTCACCTTCCTCATGATCATTGATCATTGCAAATTAATTACTTAAAAATCATACGATGTGATTTTCTGGATTTTTGTTTTAGATTCCGTCACTCACAGTTGAAGAGTACCTATGGTACAAATTACAGACTTCCACATGCTTTGTAAGTGGGAAAACCTGCAAAATCGGCAGTGTATCAAATACTTGTTCTCTCCACTGTATATTTAATTTTATATATTTATATTATTAATTTTATAATTTATTTGATTTTATATTTATATTCCTTTTATTTGCATTTTTTTTTTTTTTGCTGTGCTATTGTGAAATTCCACTGATATTGATATCTACTACCAAAAATGTTGTATTGATTTCTCAATACAAGTGGTCAGCTTTCTCACTGAAAGCTAAACATCCTCTCTATATCTCCTGATCAATGAGAGACCACCTGCCTCACTCACACCATTTCCTTTTCTACCATTTGTATTGCACAACTCCTTCTGTTTGAGCGAACAGTATTGCACAGGAGTTGTATTGCACAACTCCTTCTCTCTGTGCCTGTGCACCATTGCGCATGATGAGTTGGCAGAGTAAGCGGTGACCATGGTTTACGGAAAGAGTGCTCTGCAGGAACAGTCAGTAGCTGCATAGACCGAGCTGCTGGCAGCATGGGCTCTTCTGTTTTCTGTTCACACACAGCTTGCTTTGGTTCTCCCTCCTGCAGTCGTAAAGCAATACAGAGGCTGCTGACCCAGTGAAAAAGCCCCTCGCTGGGGGTTTGACGCACTACACCCCCACCCACTGCAGGAGTCAAAGGGGCCCTCGGTGCCTCCCTTGAGAGATATATATGTGTTAACATGCATGTGCATACAGACAAATTTCCTGTCTTGCACACGTTTTGCATGAGAATTCTGCTGTATAGTTCATGAATCATGGGACTAGAATAGCTTTGATCTGCTGCTGGCTGCTCATATAGGAAACAAAGCAGAGTGCATGTCAATATCAACTTTTTTTTTTGTTTTCAATCCAGGTCTGTGAAGATTATCAAAGATGTCATCTAAGCAAAACTCTAATAATATAGCCCAGGCCAGAAGGACTGTTCAACAGCTACGGATAGAAGCTAACATAGAGAGAATAAAGGTAAATGAATTGTTCATTATCATTAAATAAAAGTGCTGTGGCATAACATGGTACCATTAAATATTTGAATACCATCCGTTACACAGTAAGTGAAACTTTTGGCCACACTTGGGTTTAATTTGTTTCTCATTATGCTAAAGATGCTGTGAAATGGTTAATAAATTGTGCCTTCGCATGATTTTTACAAAATTTTAATTAAATTAAAATAAATAAAGTTGGAAAATATGGAAACACCTTCAAGACTGTTTAAATGGCATACTAAACGGCACTTCATGAGATGGCTGAGAAAATGAGAATGCTGAGCTGTAAATCTAGAAACAGGATGGTTTGAGGAAGCTAAATTATAGTTTTTTTATTTTTTTTTTATTTTAACTGAATTTAATTTATATAATTTTTTTTTTGCTCAAAAGAAAATTCCTGTACTTCCATGTGTGTTATTTTTAGGGCTGTCAGTTTAATATTTTATCGTATTTTATTTAACACATATATATATAAATATGTTTAATATATACTATTTATTTTATTTTATTGCTAGGGAATTGGATAGCCCCTTGTCCCCTTCCTATTAATTTGACTAAATGTAATAATTTGATAAAAAGTTTGAAATAATTGACAGTCTATTTAATACTTTTGATGGCTTTACTTTTATTTTGAAATGTGGTATTGGTTAAAGAACTGAACTTGTAGGTTGTAGGATCGCACGTCATTGCATGGACAAAAAACATTGAACTATTCTTCTTTATGTTTTGCAGAAGAACAAAAGTCATGTAATTGACAGAATTTTATTTTATTTTTTTAAACTAACAATGAAATCTGTATGCACTTCTTTCTTCTGTGAAACGAGAAAAAAAATTATTTTGAAAAATGACTTAGTGTTTTTTTGTCATACAATAAAAGTCAATGGGATTCAGTATTGTCTTGGACAACACTGATGTTCATTGCGTGGACCAAATTGTGGGAATATTATGATTTTGCATTTTACATGAACAAAAGTCATATAATTGACAGAACTTTGAATGAACTATCACTTCAATTACTAATTAATAGTTAATTTACTTGTACACAAATCTCTCAAATTTCACATTGTGTCTCTTCTCTGCAGGTGTCTAAAGCTTCTGCAGATCTCATGCATTACTGCAGCGAACATGCCAAGTATGACCCTCTGCTTATGGGTATCCCAGCTTCAGAAAACCCTTTTAAAGATAAAAAGCCCTGCACTATATTGTAGTGGGATGCTTGAACTCTTGATGTGTGTTTTGATGTTCCTTTTATTGTTATTTTGTCGAGAGAGAATATGATCTTCAAACATCCATTCCCTATTTGCCTTAAAGTGAACTAAACCCCAAGCCATTATTTGATTGTATCCACAAATCTCCTGACTAGAAATGTCCATGTTGTCTATGAAAAGGAGAGTCAAAGCACCTAGTAAACAAATCATTTGTGGCGCAAAGACAAAACCAACCCCTGAATGAATTTTTAGCTTTAGGGCACAGCACAGATGACTTGTTTGCTTTGTGATGGAGTCCACTGATGTGGTTGTGTCTCCTGCAAATAAAGGGTGAGGTCAGAGTGGGCGGTTCTCAGCCGCACTAGTATCACAAAGCACAGGAAATGATCATTTAATGACTGCAGTCTGTAATATATATCTGCAGATAAGCAGAGCCTCATCTGCAGTGCTTTTAAAGGTGTCCAGTCACAGGGAGTGTGGAGGGTTGATATGAGGGGTGAAATGTCAGCATCATGAATGTGTGAAGGGTGCTTGTGCTCATTGGAGGAGGAAACAGGTGTCTTTGGAGGCGTCACATTGACGCAATGCTGCTCCAGCCCTCCCTCATTAACTCACTCTTTGAACAATGGAGTGATACAAAGCTAACTGCTCCTGTCAAAACACTACACACAACGTCGTGCCCTTTTCTTTTTCTCTTTTTCTCCAGGGGAGCTGTGTTTCAAAAGTTCAACAACTGCCTAAGCTTGCAGATCAGCATTTTAAGAGTAACCTAATACAAAATGATGTGTTCATGTGGAAATGTTGTTTATTCCAGCCAGACAAAATGTGGGTAACACTTTACAATAAGGTTCAATTCATTGATTACTTCAACTTGAAATGTTAAAAATGTATAATACACTACTGTTCAAAAGTTTAGGGTCAGTAAGATAAAAAAAAAAAAAAAAAAAAAAAAAAAACTTCTATTAAGCAAGGATGCATTAAATTGATCAGTGACAGTAAACACATTTGTTACAAAAAATCTGTTTCTAATTAACTTTCTATTCCTAAAAGAATCCTGGAAAAAAATATGGTTTCCACTGAAATATTTAGCGATACACAACTGTTTTTAAACTGTGATAATGAGCACCAAATAAAAGCTGATTTTTGATGTAACGACTGCAGAAAATGTAGCTTTGCCATCACACTAATAAATTGTATTTTAAAATATACTTAAATAGAAAACTGTTATTTTAAATTTTATAATATTTCACAGTATATCCTGTTTTTTTTTACTGTATTTTTTAAATTAAAGCTGCATTCCGTAACTTTTTTTGGCTAAACATTATCGAAAATAAATTTTTGAGCAAGTACATAACCAGCCCGATTCAAAGGGATAAGCTTGTAATAATGTTTTTAATTCCAGTGGTACTGGTGGATTTCCGCGGGAGATTCGAGCATGTCTTTGCGTCATTACGTCACATCTGTACACATAAAGAAGATGTCTCGGCTAGTATAAGCTATATTGCGTGTGAGAATGTTGGAGGTGGAGATTTATAGCCTTTTCTCACAGCATTTGATATAATTAAACTTATCAATTTGATGGCGGATCCAGAAAGGTTCAAACGACAATTACCAGTGACAACAGATTCACCCGTTGTAAAATGCAAAATACTTTGTTCGGACTTCGGAGTGGCTACAGAAAGAAAGAGACTGCAACCGGACCCATGCAAAAACAAGGATAATATCGGAAGGACATTAAATGTAGTCACGCAATGCTGATGTTGTTAACATTAACAATTTGAGAACAAAGTATAATTTGCACGGTTTGACGTTATATGATAAGCGATCGTTAGATTTAATCAGCGCGATTTACAGCAATGCTTTTTTTCCCTTATAGTTGGTCAGAACAAAAGAGAATGTTACTTACTTGTTCAGATGACATTTTCCGGTGAAAATTATTATGTTGGTCATACTTCCAAAAAGTAGAATCTGTGATTCCGAATGACAGTATCCACACCGGCGCGGTGACTGACAGCCGTATATTCATCGCGCTGTGCCGTGCCGAGGCACAACTCAAGTAAAGTTGATAATTCCGCGAATAACTGCAATTGCAGATTTTGAACAGAGATGGCGACAAAGAGGAAAAAGCAGCTTTAAATTACTTTTTTTTTTAATGTTCAATTACTCACCCTCATGTCGTTCCAAACCCATAAGACTTTCGTTCATTTTAGAAACACGTACAGTAGATGTTTTAAATTAAACCTGAGATGTATGTCCCTTAGTTGAAAGTCTACACAACTACTACTTTGTCGCTTAACAAAGTTCAGAAAGAGATCTTAAAACGAATCCGTATGAATTTGAGAGGTTCAGTCCAATATTTGTGAAGAGATTCGATCGCTTTATATGATGAACAGATTTAATTTATGCTTTTATTCACATAAATCTATTTTTGCAGAAGCTCAAACGTGCTGCGTAACACACGAAAATGAACCTCATTGGTTCTTGAAGAAGCTCAAACGTCCTGTGTAACACACGAGAATAAACCTCATTAGTTCTTGAAGAAGTTCAAACGTGCTGCGTAACACACGAGAATAAACCTCATTAGTTCTTGAAGAAGTTCAAACGTGCTGCGTAACACACGAGAATGAACCTCATTGGTTCATGAAGAAGTTCAAACGTACTGCATAACACACGAGAATGAACCTCATTGGTTCATGAAGAAGTTCAAACGTACTGCGTAACACACGAGAATGAACCTCATTGGTTCTTGCGGAAGCTCAAACGTGCTGCGTAACACGAAAATGAACCTCAGTGGTTCATGAGGAAGTTCAAATGTGCTGCGTAACACGAGAATGAACCTCATTGGTTCTTGCGGAAGTTCAAACATCCTGCGTAACACTGAACCTCATTGGTTCTTGCAGAAGTTCAAATGTGCTGCGTAACACGAGAATGAACCTCATTGGTTCATGAGGAAGTTCAAACATCCTGCGTAACACTGAACCTCATTGGTTCTTGCAGAAGTTCAAATGTGCTGCATAACACGAGAATGAACCTCATTGGTTCTGTCGGAAGCTCAGATGTGCTGAGTAACATTGGTTCTCGCACGTCAAGCAAGCATGCTTGAGCTTCCGTTTACCATTACTTATGTGTGCGTTGATTATTTATATATGAATAAAAGCCTAAATTTATATATATAAATATATTATATATGCCGTCATTTAGATTTTTTTTATTGTAAAGTATTACCATACTTTGTTTTACCCATTTCACAGAACGCCCATTCTTTAACAAACTTTTGAAAAACTTCTGAATTTGCATTAGGATACTTTGACTCTTGTTATTGCCCTGTGTATTATAGATACAGTAGCAACACTTTATTGCAGATAATATAACAACATAATATATTGTAACCCTTTAATGATTATTTACAAGATGCCTTTTACCTTAATGTATGCATTTCTTCTGATTGTCAAACTTTTAATGTCATTGTGATTGTGCCATCTCATTCTGGGATCTAACCAGCAATAGAAACTCACGTAGGTTCGCATATATATGATTTTTCTGTACACACCGAGCACACAATGATTTCTCTGATTGTGGTGATTTTTGTGACTGTTATATTCATGCATTTTGACATCATTCCATGTTTACAACTCCTGTACCTTTTTTGTAAAACTCTTGTGAGTCGCCATGCATATCATGAAAGTGAGTGTGTAATGCTTTCATGACACAGCTGGCAGAAAACAACTTCACCAGACCAGCAAAACCAGCCTTACTGAAGTATTCCTGACTCGTCCACTGTGTCGAGACAACAGCCAGAGTTAAACTACTGTGAACTAGTGGCGCTGCAGTCCCACAGACATCTTCACTGTGTCTTCATCATTACACATCTGTGTCATCAGTCTGGATATATACCCAGGCCAACATCTGATCCTCGCCTGTGCAACAATAATGACTTATCATGCAACTGAAATTGCAACTGTGCTAAACCACAATCTTATTTGAACAACAGTATGCTTTGAATGGCAATTTCAGCCTTGCTTTCTCGTTGAGCGATGCTTTTAAAGTGACATTTTTGCAATGGTTCCCAAAAGTAGTATTGAGTTATCACAGTGGCCTGTTGTTATTTGGACAATTGTGTTTTTCCTGATGCAGTGGTCATTTCTAAAGGTGCTTTTGTATTGTAAATATGACATGCACAAGCTTTTCGGTCTGCCTTCTTATCTCTTTTTGCCTTTGAAAAATATATATCTTTTTTATATGAAGAGCATTCAGTGTCATCAATTAAATCTTCCTTTCATTGTGCAGAATTCCAGAACTGGGTCCCAATATATTGAGTTGTAGATGTTATCTTTTTCCAACAAAATATAGTTTTATTCTCAGACTTGTTGTCTTGTTTATGCATGTTCTCTTTTAAGTCCAGTATTAAATTTACATTTATTTAATTTAATTTAATTTAATTTAAAATGTATTTATATTGCACTTTTCACAATACATATTGTTTCAACATAAAATGCGTGTTTCAATGATACAATCATAATTAGCAAATGCTAATACAAGCAGAAACAATTATTACTTGTTTTTTTACAATACAGATTGTTTCAAAGCAGCTTTACAGTGATAACAGAAAAATAATGCAACAAAGTTTGTTTCGGCTGTACAGCAGATCTAGAAGAAAATAGTGTCATAGTCCAGCTTAAGTAAGTACAAGTGTTGATTCATTTCTGTTTTGGGGTCAATGAGAAACTGATACTTTTATCCGGCAAGGACACATTGAATTGATCAAAAGTGACAGTAAAACGTATTATTAAAAAAAAAATAAACGCTGTTCTTTTGACCTTTCAGTTTATATGAAAATCCTGAAAAAAATATTGTATCATGGTTTCCACAAAAATATTAAGCAACTGTTTTCAACATTGATAATAATAAGAAATGTTTGCAACAAATCAGTATATTAGAATGTTCTCTGAAATATCATGTAAAACTGAAGAGTAATGGCTGCTGAAAATTCATAATTCATAAAGGCAATCAAATCAACTAAACTGTCATAGGTGCACTCAAAATCACACCCTTTAAAAAAAGTAGTTTTGTCGTATTATCAAGTTTGTTTGTTTTTTGTCACCATTAGAAGAGTAATGTGTATGTAATAACTGCCTTATGCTTTCCCACAGCAGCCAGGTGTTCATGGTCTCACTTCTCCCACTTGCTCTAATTTCTCTGATATTGTTTTATTTGGGTCTCTGCTCCATCAAAGCCTTGTTGTTATGCACTGATCCCAGTAGAGCTCCTCTCATACCCGCTACACTCAGAAGCAGGTCAGACTGTATTTACTGCCCTATAGCGATGTAATCAGTGGAGCTTCTTGCGGTTGATTGATGAACTGGCTTTGTCCTCTTGTCAATTTTAGTGACAGAGTTACATGTCATCTCCGTGGAAAGGCTCCAGGATAAACCCCGTTATCCTTTATAAGGAAAACAAGGAGCCATTTATTTGTTATTATTCAGCTATATACCAGAGCTTTCTGAGACCACAGGTGCAGATTTTTGCCTGTGTAATAGTATTTCTCTCCTGAGGTTAAAACAGTTAATCTCCCCATGCACTGCAGAACCTTGTATGGTCACACTTTAGTTTAGGGTCCAGTACTCACTATTAATTAACTAATTATTAATTACGACTTTTGCCTCAATAAACTCATAATTATTAATAGTAAGGTAGTTGTTAAGTTTAGGCATTAGGATTATGGGATGTGGAATATGGTCATGCAGAATAAAGCATCAATATGTGCTTTATAAATACTAATAAACAGCCAATATCCTAGTAATATGCATGTTAATAAGCAATTAGTAAATAGTGAGAATTGGACCCTAAACTAAAGTGTTACCATTTGAACAAACTAAAGGCACGACAATGATGTACTAAAACCAGAAAAAATTTTCCATTACGATTTTCGTGTACAGACGACAATATGTCAAATGTGTCAAAAACATCCCCGTTCACACGGATCCGGGAAGAAAACTAAAAACGCTGTATTATTCATGCCAGGCCAGTAGTTGGCGATGTTACTTTGTAAAGAAACACTACGAGCCTATAGACTGAACATGTAATACGCATGCGCATGACGTAACCATTTGCACAAATTCGCTTTTTGTAGTTAGAGACAATAACGGTATCGTTTTCAAAATCTTTTACTTTGAAAGATCTTTTCCCTTTCCCAAAATCTTTTCCCTTTTTCAAAAGTTTGCATTTTCAGGCTCCCAAAACGCGGTCGGCGTGTAAATGAACGGCCAAAACGCATAAAAAGAGTTCCCTTTATTAGTTGAAAATGATGTTGTGTAAGCAGCCCCTAAGGGCACTAAATAATGAGGAACTCAACAAGAAACAGGTGAACAACATAATTAGTAACCATGGAAACAAACTAGTGACAAGAACAAAAGGAAACAAGAATGAAACACTACTGTTCAAAAGTTTGGGGTCAGTAAGATTTTTAATTCCCCTTATGCTAAATAGATTTTTTTTATCAATGTAAAAGTCTTTACTGTGACTTTTGATCAATTTATTGCATACTTATTGAATAAAATAATTAATTTCCTTTAAAAAAAAGTATAGTGTAATCATGCATGATTTTGCAAGTAAAGGATTACTTACAATAGCTTTTTACCCCTCTGAGAAGAGGAACATTAAATAGTTTGATCTGTGGCACTGCAGTCAGTCCCTTCAGAAACATTTGCATTCCTCATGCGTGGGAACAGCCGACGTCTCACTTCCACCTATAAAATCATGGCCCCAAACGCATAAAGCTGGAGTTTCCCAGCTCTAGGCACTTTTAGCGAGAAAGTACCACTGTGTCACTCCATTTACCTGCGCATACCTGTATTTAGCAGGATGAGGTTAATGGAAGGCCAGGTGGTAGAAACTCCAAAGGTCACTGCAGCAGGGGCATAATGTCAGCCCTGTTTACTTCAGTACAGAAATATCCCTCCCAAAATGGTCAGTCTGGCTCTCTGATGGGGCTTTTGCATCACAGTTGTGTGTGTAGTAAAGATCCAAGTGTAGCTTCAAATGTATTTCTTAACTAAAATACGTAACTGCACCATCCTCCTGCTTTTTTTGTTGCCAAAGACTCCCCTTGCCAGGAACCCTTGGTTTTAAGACTCATTTATGCTACGGTATGTGAGGAAATATGCAGGATTTTTTTATTTCATAGTTGTCAGTATAACTATTCTGCTCAATAAATGTAATGATTTCTGACCTTTAGAAAACAGAATGGTCATTAATGTCAAATCTTAGTTAAAGAAGCTGTATGTAAGAAATTTATTTCAATTAATCATAAAATGGCCCTGATATGTCACTAGACATAAGAAATCATGTTCACTACAAATACTTATATCACTGACAACAGTAGTCCGGCCAGGATATTGTCCTTTAAAAAGTGAAGTTGATCTGGCAACCTCGAGTCAGGGGGAGGGGGAGGGGATACACCGCTCTACAGTCATTTGAAAGTGATTGCAGTACCAGTTTTGGCCACAATCTTACATACAGCTCCTTTAATTTCAACATTTATAATTTTTTTAACTCAAAAGTTGTTAATATTTTACCAATAGTAAATGCACTGTGAACTAACAAGAACAAGAACAAACATTGAAGAATTGTCTTTTTATTAACTAAATTAACAAAGATTATTACATGCTGCAAATATATTGCTTGTTGTGAACAAATGGGACCTTATTCTAAAGTTACTGATTAACGTTAAGTGAGTTAGATGATAACAAAGATCATCTAAATTTAAAAATAGGGGAAATGAACACGCACAATTAAATACCCAATAAATACAAATAAACAAATAATAATATGGAGGAATATGTTCCCATGTCTTGCATCCACAGTTTAAGGGAACATAAACGCTGAGGATCAATTTCCTGTTTGAAAATATGGCCTAATGACCCAGTTCCTTTGTACAAAAAGTTGAAATACTGTTTCCCAACATCAGCTGCTTAAGAGCAATGCAGCAAAGCTTTAGCTGGAAATGAAGCAACAGTTTACAGTGGTATTCAATATTAGGGTCTTTCCAGTCTTCTCTCTCTTTGTCCTCATTCTTGCTGTGAACTCAGCAAAAGGAACAGAGGGCTATTTTTAGTTGTCAGCTCTCCTGCTGCAGCCTTGAATAGCCTTGCCTCGTTCTATTTTTTTGTTCATTTTCTTTGTGCACATTTTAACTCTCCCATCGTTTTGCATGTCCCCCACCCCGTCTGTATGCTGATGCTGTCAGGTATGATTCACTCTCTCAGTGCTATTTCTATTTCTGGCTTGGTCAGGGCCCGGATTATCTTCTGTTTTGTGTAAAGACAAGGCCGTGATGACCCGACGTCATGCGTCTCCCAGCTGCCGTAGTGAACATAATGGAATTCTCTCTCCCGCCTACTGGTGGAAATACCTTTTTTTTTTTTTTGCAATACAAGAGAAGAAAGCTGTTGGACGGTTTTCAAAATGCTGTTGACAAAATAAAGCCCAATGACACTTCAAAATTGCCCTCTACAACATCAAAATGTACTTGCCACCTGAAGCATTTAGCATACGGTGCATTTAAATGATCAAATTTAGTTGGAAAGTCATAAAATAGTTTTTTAGTTCAAATAAATGTCCTTTTTTTTTCTTACACGTTCATTGGCCATGTTTAAGGTACTGTAGGAATACACAGATAATTAAATTCAAGTCAATAAGTTTATTTTATGGCCGATGATCAAAAAATATAAAGAATATTCAAATTCTACAGTTTTTTCTAAAGCAACTAATTTATATCTAAATCAATAAAGACTGTTTTATATTCCCTTTTAAATAATAATTCAGGACATCATAAGAAATGATCTTAATAAAAATTCAAAAACATTGTGCATCCATAGTTTACGGGAACATCTTGTGACCTATTTGTACTGATATTTAAATTCTGACTGATTCTGATAAGCCAATAATATTATTTTAATTTTATGGCCAATAACTGAAAAATAGCCTTTAAAAAATGTCTGCACAATTTCTAAAGAATAAAATTTTAAAAACTAAAACCAGTCCTTTCAAATGCTACAAGAGGGGTTTATGCATCTGAACATTTTTAAGGTAACGTATGCAAAATAAATGTTCATTTTAAGATTTGCTTACGATTACTTATGTGTCGTTAAAGTATTAGCATTTTTAAAGATTAGCATTGAGTGTTTGTTAGGTGGTCACAAAGCTAATCTAACTGTAGAAATAGTGGCATTGAGCATGCACAATTAAATATCCAAAATAATCTGATACATATAAATATCAGCCGATAACCGATATGGTACCAACATATTGTGCATAACTAGTTCAATGAACTCACAGACAACAGAAACACTGCCAAAGACATATACATGGGTCAGACATTTTATTTTTAACAATATCTGAGGATGAAAGCAACAACATAAATAAAATTAATAAATTAACAGTTTAAAATACAGAGAACATATTCCAGTATAGTTAAAAAGAAAACAAGGAACTCATTTCTATCTAAATCAATAAAGAATGTTGTATATTCCCTTTTAAATAATTATAATACAGGACAGCATTAATATCATAAGTTCTCTTTAAATTGCAGCGTGTCTGCAAAAGGGTCATGCCCAACATTTAACAGTCCATCTGATCTGCGACAGTCCGATCACATTTCATTGAGTAGATTCCAGTTGGACTCACTCCGGTCTCTCAGCTCACTCCTAGTCCTCTAATCCAGCATGTGTGATTCAGTTTCCTGTACAGTCTCGTTTCCCGGCAAACTGCGGGACTTGTCATTCCCTGGCAGCACTGCGAACATAGTGCTGAGTCATTCTTCCTGCTCTGAGGTGAAACCATGAATCGACCGTCCAGCATGACACACAAAATCCACACTTCTGATCATTGGGTTTGCTGGAATACATTTCATCCATTGAATTTCATTAATCCCCCTCATGTCTCATTCTCACTGGCATTAAGCTTCATCCAGAGCACGAATCTAGTGCAGTAGCCCGTAAAAGCGGTGACATTGTTTGTCCACTTCTGTTCATCGTTCGGGGAGATTGATAACCGGCACCCACTGGTCCAAACCCCGGCTGTCTCTGCAGAATCGATTTAGTTTGCTGAGGGCTGGATCCTTCCACGTGGATGACTGCGGATTCTGTGAAGGGAAAAGAGAAACATTGTGAGTGAAGTGCACTTGTATATCGCATGTCTTCTAGATCAATTCAGTAGGTCTGCAAGAGTCTGGCAGTAAGTGATTTTAACAGCTGCTGTTAACTGACAAGCACTTGTTTTCAAAGGGCCTCTCTCTAATTTGTTAAAGATGGTCACTTCACAGAGCTTTTTCTTCCAGGAAACGGTGTTTGCAGAAATGCCCCACTGTTGCACAGGAAGTTCTGCGAATTCTATAGGCGGCCACAGAAGTTCAGCACTGCTATTAGATCACTCTGAAGAGCTGCCAGTTTACTGCAGCTCCAGACCGGCTGGAATTCCACATCACAGACACTCTGAACGGATCATTGAACTTTAAACTCCTTCAGGCGTGCCGTTCTCAAAGGGTTTAACTAATCCTTTCCTGGCAGTTAATATGCATTGACAATTCTGCAGCTGTGATCGAAGCAACTGCGTGCGAGCAATAAACTGATACAAGGAGTATGAAATGACACATACGGTGACTAACACACAGTGTAGGTCCATCGACTCTCCTCCCGGTTTCACACCCTCCAGGATCTCTGCCAGACGTCTCATGTTGTTCACTCGCAAGATATTGATGTCATTCTCGCAACAGAACGCTTGGATCAAGGTGAAGTGAATCTGGAGCGCGACATCTTTCACATCCTCCTCATCTGTGGCCAGCAGACATAAGACCACGTTGTCTGGGTCCCTGCGAAAATGTCAATGAAAGTACATTTAAAAATGTGCAAAAGCAGAAAAATATCCAATGGACCTATTTTAATCTTAAGGTGCGATCACATTAGCAGAATTCCGTGAGCAAAAAAAGATCCAATGCCTATTGTCAGAAGTGAAGAACAGATTTTTTACAAATGTGAAATAACCCAGGTATGGTTTGGATGGAAAGGGTCTTCCAATGATCACTTACACATTAAGTGACTTCGCTGCCTCATAAACTCCCACAGTGATGCATCCCTGAGGTAATGCAGCAGTCAGAACCTCTTCCAGTGCCTTTTCAACCGTGTCCATTCTAAGAGATGATTTAAAAAACACATCAGCTTTTACTTACAGGCGATCCCTCATACGAACTGAACAATACAATTCTCACGGTTTGCAAAAGAATAGAGGAAATCAGATCAATGTCACACAAGTAAGTTATTGTTGTTTGGTCGAACTTCTGCAGGAGTTGCAGCAAATAGCATTTAAGAAAGAAAGAGACAAATGTGCAATGAGAGAAGCGTTCGTTAATAAAGCAGAATTCGGGAAATGATGTGATCTTCGAGATCTTTCAACGGCACAAACGGACAACAGGCGCGGTCAAACTAATATGCAACAACACCTGTGAGTTTTATATGAAAACATACCTTTCCGTTGCGTTGTCTCCACACGGTTCTTCAAAAGTCATATTGCACATTAGAAACGGATATCCTTTAAGTATGTGCTCTCTGTTAGTTAGGTAATCCTGTACGATCCAGACAGGAATATGCCACTCGTGCAGAGTGGAGTGCTGCTAAAATGACACTCACGATACGTGACTGAGACAGTAGAGTACTCTACTCTCTCCGGTCTCATTTACATACCGTCCCTGATTGGTCAGCTCACATGGACGCGCACACATGAATACGGAGAGCCACAAATATGTTTACATACATTTGCAATTAAAACTGCTGAATATATATTTTAAATATATATTATATGCTTGCACAATAATTTGTAGTCAATCACTTAAAAATATACAAACAAAACAAAATAAATAATGTTGCTTCAGGCCAACATAATCTTTCTAATCTTTCTCTCTAGTGATCATCAACGTGAATAAAGTGACATCTGGTGGCAGATTAGTGAAGTCTTCGAATTTATTGTTTAACTTCAATTTTTGAAATGTTCTTGCTTATTGAAATTATCGTATTTAAATAAAGTGAATAAGGTTAAATAAGCTAAAATATAAATATGGACATTTTGCATCATAGTGCTAGTAAAATAAACTTAAAATACACACATATTCAATGCATACATTCACTGTTTTTATATAAATCTGCACAAAACTTCCCTGGCAAGAAAGAGTCTAAGATCTAACGCTAAGGAAGAAAATAAAATCTGTGGTACCAACTTCAGATAGTGCTTGAGTCCTTAACGAGAACAAATGCAGTGAATATTGTTAACTGACCAAAGCGTGACCAGTATACATTACTCAGTTTCAGTACAAACATAATTTATTTACTTAAATCAAATTTCTAAACAATCACTTGTTGTAAGAAGCGCTTGAAACGTTTCACAATCGTTTTTCTTTATCAATCTGAATGAATTACTGCAGTAAAATGTTCCCTTCTAAACATGGCAGTGATCTCCTCCCATGAGTAATACTGTGTTTCTCCGAGGTGTGTCCGAGCAGCTCCAGCGTCTGTGCGCGATGGTTCCGCACGACGTGGCAACTTCAAATATTCCTAATATGGAAGTGAGTGCAGAAAGCTCGGGCGCCTGTCAAAGCTGTGTGTGCAAACATACTGTAAGTCCAGCTTTGATTTATTTCGCATTTACCGTTATTTTATCTGTATAGAAAAATAAAAACATGTTTTATGTTTAAGCGCATTTTAGTGCTTTTTACACAGATATATGGCTTCAGTGATGTATTTAGAGGAAACATAAATAAAAAGTGGACGTCCAGCTGTTGCATAGAGCTGACAACAGCTGTTTAGAATAGCCACAAAGAGATACATTAGAAATAAGGTGTATTTTGACTCCCTTAATTTCCCTTTTAGGGGTTGAAGGGCAAAGACAGATTTTGAGAGTAAGGCAGGTCCATGAGTCATCTTTGTGTTGTGCTTTGAAATGATGTGGCATGTGCACTTTGAAACTGTGACAGGACACAGTACACATTCAACTGCGAAAGTCTATATGGAGAACATCTCAAAAAGAAACCTGTGAGTTATTTGAAATTCGATTTTAAGATAAATGTTTCTGCAATACTATTGTCAGTTGTTAAATGATTATATATATATATATATAAAAAAAAACTTTAATCTTACAGTACGTTCCTTTTTATGTGCATGACAACTACAGTGAAGTTTTAGGAACCCACTTTATATGGTCTTTAACGGCTATTAACATTTAAACCAATAATTTGATATAATGCACTTATTGCGTAAATACATGTTTTTACATTGTAGGCTACTTATATATTAAAAAGACCTCCATGCACCCGTAATTAATTACTGTAATAACATAGTTACACTGTTGACTCTTCCATTACACCTTAACCCAGACTTAAAACTAACCACTAAACCCGTCCCGTCCTTAACCTCTACCTGTATTCCACCGCCATAGCAGCAAAAGTGTTTTGCAGTAGAACATGAACTCAATTAGTACATTGTACGAAACAAACAATATTTTGCCTTAAGACAGCTTTAATGGAACCCTACCCTGGTAAAATACAAAATGTAATACGCTTTGTTCTGATTTCATACTCATGTTTTTAGGTATATCATAAGTTACCACTAAAACACTTACAGAATTGAAAACAAAGGTTGTTTTTGATTTACTGCTCCCTTCCTGATAAGCAGCCTCTGTATCTATGCTCACTGATAGCATTTGACTTAATGTGTAAACAGCAGACAAAATCCTCCTCTCTTCTCACTAATAACTGACATTTGTCTTTGCAAGTGCAGTTTTCTTTAGGTTTATCCGGCACTGCGTCGTGTGATGGAGCCCAGAGGTCAAGGCTGGCATATGCCAGGCCATCAGTACCAGTCTAGTGAGAGAGACGACCACTACAGATCCTCCCAGCAAACACCGTATTACTACCCACCAACAGACCCAAGAGGGAGAGAAAGGCAGTGGCCGCACGTGGATCCTCGGTATGGAAGCTACATGGCCAGTCCTCCTCCTAAACCAGAGTATATTCCTGGATATAGCAGCAGTTATGCATCAAACCAACCATTGCACTTCAGACCTCATTCCAGGTAACAGTAAGATTATCAATCATGCAGCAAAATCAATTTTTATTTTATTTAGTAAACATGAATGTCCTTAAAACAAAATGAATATACTTGAGAAGCAAGACTTGTTTTTATTAACTGTCACCTGCCCGTATACGGGCAACCTAAATTTACTTCACTATATTACTATTAAATCCTAATCTATTCATGTCAAACTATATATCGTTGGAAAGGTCTAAGACTCCTTAATAGATATTTTAGCGCTGTTTTTTTCTTACAAATTATGTATGAACAGTAATATAGGAATTTATGACAAGAGTGCACCTCAAAAAATCGACGTCATTACAGGAGTTTGAATTTCTGACCTTTGTCACAAAAAGTTGACGCACACACTTTTAATAATTGAAACTTTGATTTTTAATGCTAAAAGTTCATAATAAAACATAATCTAGTATTTGTCAATAAAAAAAGATAAAATTATACTCTAAAAAGTATAATATATATATATATATATATATATATATATATATACTTTTTTATTATTATTATATCACATATTTTAGTAGTTATCATAAATTAGGTATCATTTGAAAGCTTACGAACTCAGAATTCATCCTGTGAAAACCGTTTTGAAATTGGACGTTGCGTTACCATAGAAACGGTTTTTTTTTTATTAGGCCCCTCCCCTTTTGGGCATCATCTTTCATAATTTATTATCAAAAATGTTCTAATCTTGACAAAACACATATTGTCAGAAAGGTCTGAGTCTCAAGGTTCCATATTTAGTGACAGAAGTGATATTTGGATAGAAATTTATTAATTTGTTATGGGAGAATGCATACAATTAAATTCAATGGAATGCAATGGCACCTGGTGGGTATTTTTGGTATTACGCCTAAACAAAATCTCATGGGAACTTCAATGTTTGTGATACCAACTTCAAATTTGGAACACAACTTGGTTAGATATATGGCTTTGACTTTCTGTCATTTTAAGGCTGAAACCTATATTAATTTATATATATTTTTAATAAAAGAAAAATATATATTTTATCATATTTTTATAACAATAAACTTAAACTTCAATAACTTTTAAATAATTTAATTCTATTAATTTATTCCACTTCAGCAATAATCTGCCAAGAGTCTTCTTTTAAAAGAGACCAACTGTAAGTCTTTAGTACAAAGGCTTCATGAATTACAACCGTTTAAGTTTGGGTAGTGCATTTTCATGTCAACGCTCAAAAAGGGGGGTGACAGCTAAAGGGTTAAGTTTATTTTCTTTACCCAGTTGGCTAATCATTTTATTGGCATAAGCCTCAATGCATTTTGTTAGATTTTAAGCTCGTTTCACAGATTCATAAATAAGACTAAGGTAATTGTGAGATTGTAAGTATACAGTAAGAGAAAAGAAACATTGTATGATATGAAGTTGCACTTATTCATAATTTTGCAGATAGGGTTAGAAAAATAAATGTGTCTTAATAATGAATAATAATTTATGTAATTTTGCTTCTCAGTTAAATTTCTTATGTACATTTATCTTGTTTTAAGAATGTTGCCGTTGAGATGTTTTTACCTGAAATCAAGACAAAAATACATTCCAGAATTTTATTTTTTCATTACCTCTTATTTTGAATATACACCACCATTCAAAGGTTTGTAGTCAGTACAATTTAAAAAAAAAAAACTCGTATTGAGCAAGGACGCATTAAATTTATTAAAAGTGACCGTACATTTTTTTACAGTGAGAAAAAAAAAACGATTTTAAACAAATCCTGTTCTTCTGAACTTTCTCTCATCAAAGAATCCTGAAAAAATATACAGTATCCTGGTTTGCACAAAATATATTTAATATTAAGGAATAGTTTGCTTAAAAATGAACATTTTCAGATAATGTACTCACTTTCAAGGCCATCCAAGAAGATGCATATGACTTTCTTTCCTCAGCCAAAGAGAAATGAAGGTTTTGGAGAAAAAAGTTCCTGTATTTTTCTCCATCTAATGCAAGTGAATGGTGCCCAACATAGGTATATAGTTTTTAACAACAAATGCTCACCTTGGTCCAACTCTGCTAACCTTGGGAAGGCCATGCGTGACGTAGCTGGCAAGAGGAGTTTACATCCAGAATACACACATGAAGAATAAACTGAAACAAATACTAATAAATAGCAATGACCATTTGTTTTGGTCAGTGCTGCTTCTCCACACTTGTAAACTATTCTTGCCGCCTATGTCATGCATGACCTTCCCAATGTCCATACATCATGTGCATATGTCAGTATATCATTTATTTTATTTTCTGAAAATTATTGATCGTTTTGCTTGAGAATACCCTTATTCGTTGGCTGGGGTTGTGTGTGGAGCCCTTTGAAGTTGCCTAAAAATGGATTTTGGTTTGGACCATCAAAAATCATCTAGGTTTGGCACCATTCACTTGCATTAGATAGAGAAGAATTCTGGAATGTTTTCCTCTAACACCTTCATTTCTCTTTGGCTGAAGAAAGAAAGTCATATACAACTTGGATGGCCTTGTGGTGAGTAAATTTAGGATGAACTATTCCTTTAAGCAGCACAACTCTTCAACATTGATAAAGAAATGGAAATTAAAATAGAAAACAGTTATTTTAAACTTTAATAATATTTCACAGTGTTATTTTATTTTTACTGTATGTATGAATATTACAAAAAAAAAAAATTACTGACCCAATTTTTAAAACGGCATTAAACATTAACATATTGAAAGACCCGGCCGGCACCTTGTTATAATTTGTCCCTGAATGAGCGCAGGTCTAAAATCCCAGGTCTAATTGCTAATATCTGTTCAGGCAGGAATATGACTACCCCACTTCCAGCTACTGGCCTTACAGAGAAGACTACGGGTATTATGATTATCATGGTTATCACAGACCACAGTACAGCTCCCCAGGTACATACTATTCAATCAGAGGCCCTCAGTTTTTAATTATCTGCAAAATTCAATCTAATGTTCACCTCATTGGTGTTTTGTAGATGGTGCTGGCTGGAGCCAGACAGACGGTTGGAGAACAGAGGGCTACCAGGGCAGCGGACTGCAGCAGGAGTCTTCAAGAGCTTCATACATAGATCAGCAGGGGTCTGTTGACTTTGTCATGCCTGAAACGTTTTTTCAGTGATTTTGTAAAAAACGCAAAAATATTTTAAGTGATTTGACACATTTTATTTAACAGCTATAGCCTTAGAACAGACACCCAATATGGTGTCTCAGAGAGACAGCACAGAGACAGTATGGAAAATGGAGATGGAACTGGAGAGGTTTGTTTCCAGAAATTACTTTTCATAAGACTTTAGTATAAAATCTTTAGTTGTACCTTTAGGGGTACAACAGGTTGTCACTGGGGCAGTAACCTTAAGGGACATCTTTGTACCTTATGTACCCCTAAAATGTGCATATTAGTGGCCCTAAACTTCTCAATGGTAGTGTATGATGGTCCTCAGGCTATTTTATTTTTTCTTTAGGTGTATGATAGTGGAGCTCTTGCCAGCTCTAAAGCATCAGGCCTGTCCTCGAGCAGCTATGAGCTCAGCCAGTACATCAATGGAGCTGAACAGAGTGAACCAGATCTCATATCTCACACAGGTTTGTCAGAACCATAGTCTTCCTTTAATGCTTAATGTTGCACAGCAAATGTGTGATTAAGTTTCCTTTATACAGCAGTTAGTTCTAATCCTTGAATCTGATTGGTCACTGGACACTGTTATTTATTTGGTAATTTGATTTAGATGCTGTACCCATGGAGGTAGTCCCACTAAAGTTCTGCATCCCTCATGTGGCAGTGAGTTTTGGCCCTGCAGGTCAGCTGGTATGGGTCAGTCCAGCCCTTGCCTCTGAGGGTGAGCCTGCTCAAGTGGAGCTCCACAGCTTGGAGGTTAGAAAGACACGGTACAAACATCTTTTAAGTTATTATATGAAATACAGGATTATGGTGGAATAAACATGTTCTTTAATGATTTCAGGTAATTCTCTGTGACACACAAGAACAGCAAAATATGAGAGACTATCCTGGACCACTGGCTAGGTATATTTCAAAATATCCCTCTCACAATAATACTTGAACCTTGTGAGAGGGATATTTTGATTTATTTGATTTTTTATTCTAAACTGTTTTAATTATTCTTATTTGTTTTGATTATTTTAATTTCTTCTATGTAAGTGCAATATAAAATATATAAATATAGTTTTTTTTTTTTCTCAAAAGATTCTGTTAGGTCATCATTAAACAAAATTATGTATTAACCTTCTTTGCTAGAGGTCATGTTTAAAGACCCTCACTGATTCCTATAGAGTGCAACAATGCCTGTCCATGACCCGGCCTTGGTTCGAAAAGTTTTTTCCCCATTAATTGTTCCCATAGGGATGTTAAAGTGCCCTATTATGCTATTTTAAAGGTTCATAATTTTGTTTTGGAGGTCTCCTACAATAGGTTTACATGCATCAAAGATAAAAAAAAACAACACTTTAATTTTCTCATAATATACATTGTAGCGATCAAGGATTCACCCTCTCTAAACCCCTCATTTTCCTAATTTTGCCTCTTCTTTTGCCTACTCTACTCTGAATGGTCAGATGGCCCAGTCAGAATTGTGAGTTTATATCTCATAATTCTTTTTCCGTATAAGTAACTTTTTACTTGTTCGAAAGCACATAACAGGGCTTAATGTCGAGCCCTGTGGAGGATAGTTAGAAGGATATATTTTGTACACTGAATGAAGGGTAAGTCTTTGAAAATCTGTCTACTTAAATAGATTGCTGCTTTTCTTCTTCTCTTGTGAAGGGAGGATTTGCATAAGGTTGATGCTATTAACTTTGCCCTGCAAATGTCAGAGGAATGTCTGAAGGATGAAAAATTAGAAGATGCCACTTCTGCTGCCCTCTTGTGGCATCTCCTAATACTGCTATGCAGACAGAATGGAGTAAGTCCAATTACTTATTACAGTACATTAATGTTACTATTACTATAAGCCACTGTATAATTCTGAAGACCATTCATTTCAGCTTTGTTTGTGAGGTTTTGTGAGGCTTTCTTTGTTTTGCACTGTTAATTTGAGTATGTGTTGGTGTTATGCAGAGAATTATGGGTTCAGATGTTGCAGAACTGCTGATGAGGGACTCCATGAGTACGTGTGGTGAGCTTGCAGATGGAGAAAGCCTCATTGACCTTAACGAAACCCCCACACCAGAAAAAGAGACCCTCAATATTGCCGACCTTCTCACTGGATACCCACCAACTGACAAAGCGGCGACAGAGCAAAACCTTCAGAATTACACAAAACTATTGCTGTCTGGCAGGAAGAAGGTTAATTTTAGTGAACAATAATTTTCTCATTTATGAATCTATTTTTATGTTAATGACCCTGTGAAAATGTTTGACCAATGCATTTTTTTTTTCTTTGTTGACATTTTCTATTAAAATGGACATTAGGTTGGGACATAAAGAAGGACTTCTTCATATTTTTTAAAAGCCAATTTCTACCTTATAAATTTTATTGGACAAAAATATTTCCATGCCACTGTGAAGATGAATAGTCAATATATATTTTTAATCCATTTTCCTGTAAGAAAAAGTCTGTACATTGTAAATGTGCACACTAAAAATTTTGCAGCCAGTAAGATTTTTTTGAAGATGTTTTTGAAAGAATTTTCTTATGCTCACCAAGGCTGCATTCATTTGATTTTTTAGTAGACGTTGCTCCAGTCTTCAGTCACATGATCCTTCAGAAATCATTCTAAAATGCTAATTTGATATTCAATAAACATTTTTATTTATTATCAAGGTTGAAAACAGCAATGCTTACTATTTTACCATGATGCATTTTTTCAGGATTCATTGGTGAAAAAAGTAAAAAAAAAAAAGTACAGCATTCATTTTAAATAGAAATGTTTCGTAACATTATAAATGTTTTAATTGTGACTTTTGATCAATTAAATATATCCATGCTCAATAAAAGTATTCCTTTCTTTAAAAAAAAAAAATCTTACTGACCCTAAACTCCTTTTTTGTGCCTTGACTTTTGTAAATATCTTTTCAGATCTCAAATGTCTGTTCTTTTCTCCCCTCACTACAGGAGGCGCTGGAGTCAGCCATGCAGAGTGGACTTTGGGGACATGCCCTATTTCTGGCCAGCAAAATGGACATCAGATCCTACAACACGGTGCTGAGCAGGTTTGTAAAATATGACTCACCCATCTACCCTTGCATTTTAGCAGTAACCACTTCACATCAATAACTGGCACAGTCAGTGATGTTTTCAAATAGAACAAATGCCCGGATAATCATGATCCCTCAATCACAGTGCAATGTCTCTATAAAATACATTTCAATTGAAATTACACATTTTACAGTCTATAAACATCCTGGTATGAGGTCTGATCAAATACATTGGCTTATCTTGATATATGCCTCATGAAGAATTAACATTAACTGATAGCTATCCATTTATTCCATAGTAAAATATGCTAAATACATTTGTCATGGTCTAATACAGTGGTTCCCAACCTTTTTTTGTCTGAGACCCCCTTTTTCCCAAGAAAATATTTTAGGGCCCCCCTTCACATTTAATGATATTATCGCTCTTTTAAGCTTGCAGCAAGGATGACAAAATATGTTGGGTTTTTTTCAAACAAATGGTATGTTTATGCACAAATAATAGCCTATAATATTGAAAATGCAATAACAAAAACATCAGGAGGCCCTTTGTAATTTAAAAACGTAAGCCTAGGAGAAGCCTATACATTGGCCCTATTTGAAATGCAAAAACAAAAATGTGGTGTGTAGGTAAAAAAAAAGAAAGAATATAGGCTATTACTAAATGACTGCTGTCTGGGGCCTCAATACTTGCATGTTATTTGTGAGGCTTTATTAATGTGAGGATTTATTTTTTACACTTTTGGCGCTATAGCGAGCGATAATAAACTACATCTCTCTGTGTACGTCTATGACGAGTCACGCAGGTACTGGGCTACTCCGCAGCGGCAGCGATCCGAACCAGTGTAAAATAGTCCCAATGTAAACACTTATTATAGGTGTACCATAGTGGTTCAGGATAAGACAAAAAAACGGATTGGAAAATGGATTCATGATGAACTCTCTCATTATATACATTTTGTACATTTTGAACAGAAAAAAGTTAAGGACTTTTATTTAATGCTCATTGCTCAAACCTTTCAAAATATGACGCGACCCCCCACAGAGCTCGCTGAGGCCCCCTTGTGGGCCGCGACCCCCCTGTTGGGAACCGATGGTCTAATATGTTTATCGCAACTGGCTCACCTTTACAGGTACTCACCCTGCACCGACTGTGAGACAGTGCTGGTCCCTCTTCCTCTCTCAAGACACCTTCCTCCATCTTGGTTGAGTTTAGGGATTCTGCGGGTTATCAAATGGGCAACCCCCCCCCCCCCCCCCTTCCTCGATGTTTCATCGATTTAAGCACATGACATCTGGGGGGGGTTGGTGGTGGGGGTTCGACGGTAGAACCATCGTCCTAGTTCCGACCCCGCTCTCCACCTTCAAACTCAAGATGTTCTTAGCCCTTCCCCATGTTGGGTCTGCCACCTCTCAATCCGTTTTATCCATATCAACCGGGATGCTAATGGCAATCCCAAGAGTCCAAGGGACCTCTAAAGCAACTGCCCTGTGAAACCCCTGCAGCCAACCTCCACTTGCAGGTTCCAAGCCTTCCATCTTTTCCTTTGGAGAATCAAAGCCTGATATTTCTTAAGATTACACTTGTGTGCCTCTTCCATCCTTTCTTCCCAGGGTACTGTCAGCTCAATAAGTACCACCTTCTCTGTACTCTTCGACCAGAGCAAAATGTCTGGTCTGAGACTAGTATGGATCATTTCTTCTGGGAATTTGAGTTGCTTCTTAAGGTCTGTCCGCATCTCCCAGTTGTTTTGCGTGGCCAGAACTCCTTTACTCCTCATCTCTGTTGCCACGCTCTCCCCAGACCTAAGGAAATCTGAATGAAACAAGGCCCCATAAAGAAGTTGTTTTAGCTTCTTTCTTGCTTGCTTCACCCCGGCAGCCAGCTTAGGTCAAATTTGGTCATGTCGCATCCGAAATTTCCCAGCTACCAAAATTGACCTGCACGAGGAGAGGACATGTTCAAGATTAGCCGGCCTTCCTCAGAGTGTGCAGTTGTGTATCTCTGCTAACCCCCATGTATGGAAGTTCGATGGAATAGGTAGGGCATTGTAAACAGAACACAACAGAAACTTAATCTAATGCTCTACCATGCTCCAGATGTCCTGCAAGGTCAGAACCCTCCCCCACACACTTTCCCACCTTATCCAGCTGCCCTTCTTATCATGGTTGCAGGCTTAACATGTCGACTTTCCTCTTCTTCCTTGCGGACCTCACTTTTCACCAAAACTTGCCCCCTCCTCAACACCAAACTTCTGGAATTTGCATTCTTGCCCAATCTGCGAGCTCAACCAAGTCCTCCAGTGTCCATCTCCCTTCGGGTACTGATCTTGTGATGGTCAAGTCATCCATAAAAGCCTTTCCATCTGTAGGATTCCATCTGCCTGTACTGCACCCTGATGTAACTTCTCGGCTGACTTGACAAGGAGGTTCATTGCTGCTGAGAACAGAATGACTGAGATTTTACACCCACTGACAATGCCCACCTCTAGCCTCTGCCAGTCAGTGGTAAAAACGCATGTTAACCTTACTGAAGTAGCACTGCAAGAGCTTTTGGAAGCGCTCTGGGACATGGTATGATTCAGTGTTAGTTCCACTAACTTGTGGAGTATCGTTTTATAGGCGTTGGTCAGATCAAGCCACAGAACTGTTAGGTCGCCTAACCCCCGAAAATAACTATTTTTGAACTGACGTGTACATATACCCATTGTCCAAGATGAAAGTGGTCAAAAAACAAACATTTTACCCTCCACATTGTGGAGTGATATGGTATGAAATTGATTGATATCTATGAAATTCTCCTCCTTAGGGATGAAACACCACTTAGAAACCAGCCAATCGTCAGCATGAAGTTCTTCCTCCATGCCTCTTTCATCAACCTCCAGAGTCATCTCCTGAGCCTTTCATAATGCTTGTACACTTTGTACGGTATACCATCTGGTCCTGGAGCTGATCTTCCTCTGGCTATCTTAAGAAAGTTGTTGATATCGTGCTAACTTGGTTTCTCTAGTCCAAAAGGGATAACTGGTTCCACCGGTTTAATGAGTTTCTTCATCTCTTTCAAGCTGTCCTCCCTTCTATTGTTACTATAAACTTGACGGAGATGTTCTTACGCCTCTTCCTTTGTTGCTTCTAACTCTCCTGATATTTTGCCACCCAGAAGAATTGACAAGTACTTGAATGGATTCCTGATGAAGCTCTCACTTAATGCGTTTCCTTAAATTGTCTCAAATTTCAGTGAATGCTGGCTTCTCTTCTGTTGCTTCACGGAAAGCCTGTTTTTGCCTCCGATGATCGCCTTTTATGTTCGCAATCTCCTTAAGGCTGTAGGTAGGTTGTGAGTAGAGATGTTCTGATACCCTTTTTCCCTTCCCGATACCGATTCAGATACCTGGACTCAGGGTATCGGCTGATACCGAGTACTGATCATAGACTGTAAAAAAAGATGGGCGACGCCCCTTCGCCCTTTTCCATCAGAGCGAACTGAAGCCGCCAGTGTCCTGATATGGCTTGACATCTTGGGACTTGAGTCTGCGTACTTGCGTTTTCGGGACCAGACATGCGCAGTCGTGAGCAGGAAGTAAAGCTGCGAAATCAAGGCCCTGCCCACACTCACGCTGAATCAATCGCAAGCACACGCCCCTGCACTTTTCTTAAGTGGCCTCTGTCTGCTCCGTTCCTCTCCAATGATGTCTGCTGATTGCAGTACCTCGTTAAAATAAGGTAAATAGAACTAAACCACATAGTCAACATTATGAAAAAAAGTCTGTTGGTGTTTCAGTGACTACTTCGCACAGAGAACCTGTCAATCATGATGTCACAGCACCGTTTTTATAGCATCAAATAACTAACTAAAAACAAACTTATTTTAAAAACAAACACTTGAAATTACATCAACGTGATCGAAACTATAGTAAATGACAGAAACTATCTTTGGAAAAAAGATATGTGAAGTGTAATTTAATTGTTTAGTTGGTCTCACGTCCCGTTGAATAACACGGGGATGCGGGGTTTATGACCCATACTAGGACCGGCCACCAGGGGGCGATCGAGACGTTTTGGCTTCACTTTTGAGGGCTTGTGCGGCACGCTTGGTACTGATCCAATCCCTGAGTGTGTATCTATACAGCTGCAATTCATACTAGCCCTGTATGAATTGATAGAATTATTTTATGGTGTGCTTCAGACTTATCCCTTAATAAAACATGAACAAATACATACAGTGAACTATTTATGAGTATTTTTATTATCTGACATACATTTCACAGCAATATATTATTTATTTTTCTTAAGTGAAAAAGAACTTAAAGGAGCTGTATGTAAGAAATTTAGTTCAATTAATCATAAAATGGCCCTGATATGTCACTAGACATTAAGAAATCATGTTCACTACAAATACTTATATCACTGACAACAGTAGTCCGGCCAGGATATTGTCATTTAAAAAGTGAAGTTGCAGCCCTCAACTGATGTTGATGTTGTCATGTTGTGTTTTGGTCTGATGCTCCACCCTCCACCTATCTACCAATCACAAAGTCAGTAGTGTTGCTGCATCCGGGTTGCCAGCTCTGCTCTAGTTACCACTTCTTGTAGCAGCCTACGTTCCTGCTGGATCCTGCAGTCTATGGCAACCTCGAGTCAGGGAGGAGGGGGAGGGGATACACCGCTCTACAGTCATTAGAAAGTGATTGCAGTACCAGTTTTGGCCACAATCTTACATACGGCTCCTTTAAAATGCAGCCACACATCTAATACTTTAAACTGAAAAAGGTATTTTATATTTACAATATAACTGTATAAAAAAGTGCAACAAATAAATCTAGGAATCTAAAAAATGATATATGAATAATATAAGAAAATAACCTCTTTATAACTTAAAGTCCAGAAACAATTTAGTTAAATACACAGCATTTCAGTTTTGACAGCGGCTGGTCATCCAGAACAATAAACTCGATAATTTTGTCGGTTATATTAATCGCTCGTTGGCTGTCTTTTGAAACCTTTCTCTTCGTTTGAATGAAGCTTCCAGAGATTGTTGATTCTGGCGCGGCTCATCCTTCTCTGCCCTTGCCAACTTCCTGTGTTGCCACAAGCAACCGCTGTTTAGAGCAGCGAAGAAGAATTGATCTCCGATTTGTAGCGTTAAGCAAAGCTAGCGTGCATAACTAGTTATTGTTTAAGAAAAGGGTATCGGATCGGTACATGGGTAGAAGTACTCGCCGATACCGATGCCAGAATTTTTATTGGTATCGGCGGCATTTCCGATACTAGTATCGGAATCGGAACAACTCTAGTTGCGAGCACTTCATCTTTGTCTGGTGTATCTTCAGATCCCTCTCGTTTTTGCATACCTTTCCACATCACAGACCCGGAATATATCGCTTGGCTCTTCCATCGCCGATTGTCTATCCTAGTTGGTCATAACCGTGGTCTTTCTTGTGGGTTGATCATCCTCCCCCGCTCTCGCCCGACCCCAGGGGTATCTTATAACTTTCCATAGCGATCAATGTTCCTTCTCATGGAGAATGTACTTCAGCCTGCCAAGCACCCCTGCTCTGGTCTTTCCTAACGTCTGTGGTCTTTCCCATCTGTCACCGTTCTTCCTAGCTGTCTTTCCTAGCTGTTACTGGGTATGCCAGAAAGAGGTATGCAAAATATCATAGAGTTTATTGCAACTGGCTCACCTTTACAGGCCATTCAACATCTTTGACCCAGTGACATCGCTATCCTCTCTTCTTCTCTCAAGACACCTTCCTCTAACTTGATTGAGCTTAGGGCTTTTGCGGGTTATCAATTGAAAGGAAATGGTAATCCCAGAAAACAGTACAGTATATGCGTTAAAGTTACACATGCGCATGAGGATACCAGCGAAAGGGTATGGTTTCAGTTCTGAGTGGGAATTGCCTGAATGATTGCTTGCACATCCCTGTAATGTTTCATCTGCTTTCAATTAATGGAGATTAATTTCACATTCATTTTTGGGCTGTTTTTTGTTAATAAGGTAGCATTTTCATTTGTTGATATGTATGTTATGAACTTCCCGAAATACGTTTGCTTGTGTGTGCATGTTGTATGCATGCTTTGTACATAGATGTCACAGGATAGCAGTAGAGATGCATCAATCGACCGGCCAGGGACTGGAATCAGCCACGTTTACGCAAGCTCGGCTTGGACCGGTGACTGGTCGGTCAGTTTCACGTCTTTTGATTCCGAACTGGTCCGTTTTGTTGCCAGCATTGCTGGCAATAACGTCACAGCCACATGTAAACATGTCGTTAGCTTGGAAGTTCTTCACTGTGAGTGAAGAAGACAACAAAGTTCCAATTTGTAATACAGGCCAAAGTAAACCGTGGGGGAACCACCATGAATACGTTCAGAGCACCAAAGTTAATTAGACACTAGTGTTGTCGAAAATATTGAAATTTTGATACGTATCGATACTGAAATATCTGAAACCATTCCAATACACCTTTTCTGTAGTATCGATACACCAATACCAGCTGTGCATTCTCGCTCTCTTCTCTCCAACGGCGAAGTGACACACACCCGCCTCCTCTCACTCACTTGTCTCAATCGCTCCGGTTGAATAGTTCTTGTATTGCGCATACTTTAGACTAATTCCCGCAGGTTTCACGCTCACACCAAAAGTGCGTACACCACTGAACTATATAAGTGGTGTGCACATAAACCCGCCTCTCAAACAGCTTGTGAGTCGCAAGTACCAAAATGAGTGGCTTACCATGCGCTTAAACGGTCAGATACACACAAAATTATGTCAAAATCTCCATCTTTGTGAGTATTCAGTTAAACACAGTCAGTTTTGGAACGTAAATATTTGTGAAAGCTAACGCATGTTGTGTAACAGTATATTGGATCTGTGCATAAACTCTTTGGGCCCTATCATACATCTGGCGCAATGTAGAGCCAGGCGCGACTCAAGTGTTTGTTGCTAGTAATTTCAGCCCGACGCAGTTATTATTTTCACGTCCTGCACCACGTTATTTAAATAGCAAATGCATTTGCGCCCATCTGTTTGCCCATGGTCTGAAAATGAATGTTCAGGCGCATTGTTGGCGGGCTGCTATTTTGAGGCAACTGAAATAGACTGCGCCAATGACTAAGAAAAACCTGGTCTAAAGTATTTTTGTTATTTAAAGGGCGCATTAGTAATATGCGCCTATAGGCGGGTGCACAACGCGCGTACACTCTGCTTATTACACACACAGGGACGCGCACAGCACACAAACATGCCAAATATTAAAAAATAAAAGAATTACAATGTAAAAGATTATTATTGTGTACATGAAGATATGGTGGAATCCGGCTTGTACCGTAGATGTTCAGCTTGCGCGCTTTAACCTCGCACACAAGCAGATCCGTTTGCCCTCTGGAGAAGCGTTCAGTCTTTCCGCTTGGAAATTTCGCCATGGCGCGAGCGCAACTGGCTTTTAAAGGGAATGGGAGATGATACTCTGATTGGTTTATTCCACATTACACCCAAAACACACCCATTACTTATTAAGAGAATAGGAACAACCCTTTTAGACCAGTGGTTCTCAACTCCAGTCCTTGGGACCCGCTGCTCTGCACATTTTGTATGTCTCTCTTATCTGACACACTCAGTTCAGTTCATAGAGTCTATCCTAACGAGCTGAGGATCTGAATCAGGTGTGTTAAATAAGGGAGACATACACAATATGCAGAGCTGGAGTTGAGAACCACTGTTTTAGACCATGCGCCAGGCAAATGCAAAAGTGGATTCAGATAGGCCCTAAGTGTACTTGCGCTTAGATCGTTAAAATATGTCCCTTTTAATTATAGCAGTCTAATATTCCTGCTGCTGTCTCTCGTGTTAATCAAAGAACAGAAAATCACTCTCTGCTCTTGACTGAATAACTTTAGTAACTTTAATTGTAAGCAATAATCTGTGTTTAATTTTTACAATGAAGACTATCCAGTGTTATTTTACATTTGATTACATTAATTGATGTAGTATTTCTTACCTGAATTTACTTCTAGATCCACCTGAAAAACATAAAGCCATGCATTTTATTTGTGCTGTTGTTTGCAATTTGTTTATTTACTTTAAGAGCAGATTTTTGTTTGGATATGCTGTTAATTTATATTTCTTAGAAAGAAAATCAGAAACGTCAAAAATCGGTATTGGCAGGTCACACTTACAAAAAAATCTGAAATCAGAATAAGCCAAGAAAATTGCAATCGGTGCATCTCTATATAGCTGACTGAATATTTATATGTTTGACAGATTTACAGGCAGTCTGGCTCCGAGTGACCCACTGCAAACGGTCTTCCAGCTGCTCTCTGGGAGAATTCCAGCGGTTTCCATGGTAATCTACATTCTGTCCTGACTTAGTTCACAGTTAATAAATGTCTTTTTCTTTTAATTATTATTATTTTTTTATTTCAATTTTAGTTATCAAGTTAAACTAAATGAAAATAAGAAATGTTCCTACTGTAGCAACTAGCTAAAATAAAGTGAGTAAACTTTTATAATATATTTAATTTTTTGTTAATATTTATTTTATTTCAAGTAACATTTTTTTAATGATTTTAGTTTCAGTTTAATAATATCACTGGCTAGATTTTTGCAAAGCAATGGAATGGATTTGAAATACACTACCATTCAAAGTTTTAGGGTCAGTAAGGTTTTTTTTTTAAAGAAATTAACACGTTAATGCAATTTATATATTTATATATAAGTATATATACAATTTCTCTTAGGATATGTTTCAGTGAAAAAATAATAGCATATGGATTTGGAATGACATGATGGTGATAGAATAATTGTTTTTAAATTTTGAATGAATTTTTCCTTTAAGCAGAAGTGCAAAACAGAAACCTCCAGTCACACCTCATGTTAAACCTTTTCTTTTCATCTAAATCATCCTCTTGACCTTCTCTTCTAAATGTTATCTTGATGTTCTCCTCTCCTCTTTGCAGTCCTGGAGTTGTGAGAAGTGGGGAGAGTGGAAACCACACTTGGCTGTTATGCTGTCCAATGAGACAGCAGACCCGATCGTACATCACAGGTCCATCATCACCATGGGTGATACCCTAGGTAATGTCCAGTCCAGTTTCTTGAAATAACCATTCTTGTATGTTCTCTCATATTTTGGCATAATATAAAATTATTCTTAAAGTAGATCTTGACTTTAAGTTTTCTTCTCAGCCTCCAGGGATATGCTGTATGCCTCTCAAATCTGCTACCTCATAGCCCAATGTCCATTTGGCTGGTACAAAAACAGTTCAGAGCGCTTGGTGCTTCTGGGCAGCAAGCAAAGGTGAAGATTCAGTGTAAATGCTAACATATCTGAATGACTGCGTTCCTGATCTGAATTGAAATGGCTTTTACATTTTAATCTTTTGATTGCAGTGTACAGTTTTCCAAGTTCTGTCACAACTCTGCCATTCGCTGTACTGAACTGTTTGAGTACTGTCAAAGGCTTGGAAATGCTGAATTTATCATTCCTGCTTTTCAGGTACAATTCACACATTATCTACAGAAGTGGTTCCCAAACTTTTTAGAGTGGCGTACCCCTTGAGGCATTTAACATCCCTCTGTGTTAACCCCTCTCTTCCACTTAGACTGCAGTCACAACTTTTCAAAATTGTACACCTTAGGGACAAAATTTTACACCTTAGGTTGATTTTTAGGGCCATTTTTTTCCTTTATAAAGGTTTTTTAAAGGTTTATAAATTTGACTTAAAAATAAAGTTATCTGGATAACTGTCATACCATAGGTCACTCTTTTACACAGTCTGATTACATTACTGTTTCACATTTATATGTTGATGTACAATGGTTCAGTGGGTGATTATGTAATTTACATATTGCATATTGTGTTGTGCTCTGTGTAGGTGTATAAATTCCTGTATGCATGCCGGTTGCTGGAATGTGGTCTGTTTTCTCAAGCCTTCCACTACTGTGAAGTGGTGGCAAAAGCTCTGCTCAGGATAGAGGAACCCCATTTAGTGCTGCTTGGAGAGCTTATTAAAGTAACACACCTGTACATACAGTACTAAAAACTAATCCTGTAGTTTTTTGTTCATTTTGTGTATGCATCGAAATGTGTGTGCCTGTTTTGTGATCTGTCTGTTTGCTAACACAGATGGTGGACAGACTGAAGTTCTCTGAGGCACAGCTCAGTGATACAGGTGTCAGTCAGCCTTTTCTGGATCCTGACTGGCTGGTGCAGATTCGCTGCAGACACCAGACCATGCTGGTAAACCCAATGTCTGTACACTATATATATGATAGTCGTTAGTCCACTGTAAGATTTTCAGGGTTGTCTATGGGAAGACCAAATGGAACTCAATGTACAGACCACACTGTCATTTTACCTTTGCATAACCTATTGCGTTACTGACTGTTATTGACCTAGTATTGACATCTGTCTCGGGTAATACGGTCACAAGTTGTCAGCAAAAACAGATAGAAGTTTACACCTATTTTTAAAGCGTCTCCTGTGACCACTTGTTATTGGATTTCAAAGAGACCACGATTTTGTGACCATATACAGTACATTAGTAAGTATTACTGCATGTTGATAACATGCAAAACAGCTCCCAAATGTACTTTTCCCAAATAAATGCATTTTAATCTCATTATATATACCGGTACTAAAAATGTATATCACAAAAATAGTATATATACATAGTATGTATACAATAGTATGTATATGAAACTGAGAAAACATTAAAAATGTAATATACATATATTAATATAATTTTATGTAAAATATAACCGTATCAACTGAATTTCACATATATACTGTATGTGTATTCCTTACATGTTTTGTGAGTTGGTCTTCCACAGTTGTCCAGGGCACATTAGGACACATTTGTATTTATACTGCAAAGGTTATGTGGTGTCAACTGTTTATGTTTACCTCTGAACTTGGATTGAGTGACAATGTTTTGGACCCTGATCACAGCCGTATTTAGAGCTAACCCTCTGATCATTTGATATTAATGTAATACTGGGTATAAATAGGGCCTCAGACATTTTGTAGAACTGGCACTTTCCTTAATGATCCATATGATGACCTTTCCACTGGTTCCACCGTCAGTGACCTATTTATTTGCTTATAGGTGGGGGACTACTGTAGTGAGACATACCAGTCACCAGTCGAGGAGACTACTTGGACTCATGAGGACAGCAACAAGTGTTCAGGTTAAAAACAAATACCAGAGATTTTTGAGTATGTGACCATGATGTTGCCCTTTGAGCCACTAGGTCACAATAAAACTACTTAGTGTTTCCTGTAATTTCAGTTTGTCAGTATGCTGCAAAAAATTCATGTGTTTTGTCTCTTGGCTTCTCTGTAGATTTTTTAGAAGGTTCCCAGACAGAGGCAGTTAACCATGCAAGCACTGAAAATGAACCCTCAAACCCATCTCAATACATGATTCCACACACTGATGGCCGGTTTCAGGAGTCTTACTCACCAGCGTGCCTTTCTTCTGAAGAACAGGCTCCTAGGACTGTTGCCCCTGTGCCACTGTACCCGACCCAGCAACCGGTGACACTGCCCCCAGTCTTCCCTATGGAAATGTTTGGGCCTCCACCAGTTTCAATAGACCAAAGCCACACTAATCTTGATAGCAGCAGTAAACATGATACCTTTCACAGTCACACTGCTGCTTACACTTCGCCTCCAAAAAGCTACAGTAATACAGGTTAAGATTACTATGGAATCAGTATGATATGGTTTTGGGGCTGTTTACACGACACCGTTTTCAACTAAAAACAGAAAAACTTTGTATGCCTTTTGCCCATTTATTTACACGACAACGGCGTTTTGGGGGCCTGGAAATGCAAACTTTTGAAAACGTGTTTTAAAGTTTTTTTAAACTATACCATTATCGTCTCCATGTAAACTACAAATACGTAAATTTGTGAAAACAGTGACGTCATGCATGTGTGTATTGTTTCTTTACATTGTGACATCGCCAACTACTGGCCTGACATGCATAATAAATAGTTTTTAGTCATTTTGGTGGATCCGTTTGAACAGGAATCGTTTTGATAACGTTGTCGCCTGTATGCGAAAAACACAAAGGAAAAACATTGTTGTCGTGTAAATGTACCCTTATATACCATTCTTCAATGATCTCTTGAAACGTATGTATATGTACACTACCATTCAAAAGTTTTTTACTTTATTACATTGATCAAAATTGACAGTAAAGACATTTATAATGTTTCAAAATATTTCTGTCATATAAATGCTGTTATTATTAACTTTCTATTATCGTAGAATCCAGAAAAAATATATAACGGTTTCCACAAAAATATTAGGCAGCACAACTGTTTTCAACATTGATAATAATAAGGAATGTTTCTTGAGTTTCAAATAATCATATAAAATATTATTTGAATTTATAAACAGTTATTTTAATTTGTAATAATACTTCAAAATATTACTGTTTTTACTGTATGCTTGATCAAATAAATCCCAAACTTTTGAACAGTTGTGAACATATTTGAAATACTGATTTATGATATTTATTTTCTTAATGTTTTTTTTCTTTTTTTCTTTTCTTAGGTGGTGACTTTTCTGCTGATGCAATAATGGTGAGAAAATGAAATACAAATAGATCCATTTCAGTTCCTTTTTTTATTTGAAAGACTGATCAACCTTGGGGAAGTTGTCTCTGCGTGTGAAATCGAGATTGGAGGAAGTATTTTAACACACAAAAAATTACACACATCACCTCTATGCAGTTTAATTGTAAATATGTGTGTATGTGTGTTTCATATGTTGGTCTGTAATTGTCAATGTTTTATTTACAATTCAAGCAGGGTGCTGCTGAAAACAACGCTGTAGTTGAGAGTGTTAATCAGTCTGGGACAAATCCAAGTGAGGACAACAATAGAGAGGCCAACACACTATCAGCTACGGTATATATTACATCAAATGTTTACACGATTCCCTCTTTACTTTTTGAGCTTGTATGTATTTATTATTATTATTATTATTGTATGTGTTTCATTTTTGAACAGAGCTCCAAGCCTGGATGGTTCAGTGGCTGGTTCAAGTCCAAGCCTAAAGAACAAATCCCAGACCCCAATCCTACCACAAGGGTAGACACCTTTACGTTTCCCATAAAGTGATTGTAAAATAACAGTCTTGGATAGTTTATGATAAAAGAGATCTAAATCAGAACAAAGTGAGAACTGTTTTTTATGACATGTTCATCCTTATTGTATAAAATTATTCACTGTTGAGCATGTGGTGGAAAAGAGGGGTAACTGTTACCTCGTTTCCACCAAAAAAGAACTGGTTCAGAACTGGTGCTGGTTCAAAGTTGGTTCAACTTGCGAACCTTCTCAGAACCTGTTTGTTTTTCCACTGACTAGAGTTACGTCACTGTGTACGTCGCCATACGTCTTAGCTTTCCCATTCCCGTCGTGTTGTTGGTCACAATAGCCCCGCCCCCCAGCCAACGATGTAAGCATGACGTGGTAAACGAACGGTTCTAGTCCAGCAAGAGTTGGTGCCGCTTTGGAACCAATTTTCCTGGCCGAGAACCGGTTCTTTGGCTGTCGAAACACAAAGAACTAGTTCGCGAGTAGGCACCGGCTCCTAACCGGCTCTCAAAATGTTTTGGTGGAAAAGGGGTATGTGAAACCCTCTGCGTCATGGCAACCTTAAACTGCCATATTCCTTAGTTAGTATTTCAATCATTGGAATAATTCAAGCAATTCAACAATTTGTTAAAGTTCATTTTATCTTGTATGAAATCAGTATCCGGAACTTCCGGGAGACTTGGGATGTCTGTGATAGCAACGTTAATTCATGTTAGCAAAATGTTAGATCATGTTAGCAACATATAACTAACATGCTATTCATGCTAGCAATGTGTCAAAAACATGCTAGCAACTTGTTAAAACATGTTAGCAAAATGTTAAATCATGTGAGCAACATGCTAGCAGTGTGTTAAATCATGTTTCCAAATTGTTAAAACATGTTAGCAAACATGATAACAACCATCTAAATCATGTAAAAAAATGATAATCATGTTAACAACATGTTAAACATGCTAGGAATGTGTTAATTTGTGCTAGTAACATGTTAAAACATGGCAACATGTTAGATCATGTTAACAACACGTTAGCAAAATGCTAATCATGCTAGCAAAATGCTAATCATGTTAACAAAATGGTAAAACATGCTAGCAAAATGTTAAAATATGCTAGTTCATGTTAGCAATATGTTAAACATGTTAGCCTACATGTAATTCATGTTAGCATTGAGCTAAAATATGTTAGAAACATTAATTTATGCTAACAATGTGTTAAACACTAACAACATGTTAATCAGTCTAGCAACATGTTAACAACATGCTAAAACATGCTTACAGCATGCTAATTCATCTTAGCAATGTCTTAAAATATGCTTACAAACATGTTATCATTATCAAAATGTAAAATAATGCTAGACCCATGCTACGACATTCTAACAACATGCTAAGAAGAATATAAAACTTTCAAACTTTCAGACAAGGCTTTGTCAAGCCAACATAAAAGTTTGTCCCAACGAACTTTACTTTCTAGTTACATTTATCATAGTGACTTAAACCTGATAAAAAGCTCCTTTCCAATGGCCCTTAAAAGCATTTGCACAGTGACAGTGTTAAGCTTTGTTTTCATTTCCTTGTTTGCAGTCAAGTAACTAAATTTTGGTCTTTCCTGTAAGGAGTCATCAGCCAACTTTCCTTTCCCTTCTCCTCCTCCACCCATTGCCAAGGCTTCACAGGCTCAATTCAGTGGGTTCAATCCCTCTTCTAGGAGTGCTGGTGAGTGAATAACATCTGTAGATCTGCCTGGTTTTGACATCACTGACTCAGCAACTGAGCTTTGAGACTGTTGTACATTGAACGAGCAGAATCAAAATGTCCTAAATCACTGCAATTGTTCTGTTTGACAGTCATTTATAAGTTATTAGTTAATGATGAACTGATCATTTACAAAACATAACTATATATCCATAAATGATTAATATGTGATGTTAACATTTTATGAATGTTTTAATTCAGTTATAATTAATTTATACGTTTTTTGTTAATGATTACTAATCATTTACAAAACATGACTATACATTCATACATGAATAATATGTGATATGCTAACATTTTATGATTGTTTTAATTCAGGTATAATTAATTTATACTTTTTTAGTTAATGATTAACTAATCATGTACAAAACATGATTATACATTCATAAATTATTAAGTGGTATGCTAACAATTTACTAATCTCTTGTAAGTTAACTTAAGAAAATTGTAAATCATGAAATAATCAAACAGATCATTAGTAGATGGTTAATAAGTTATTAGTTGATATATTATTAATCACTTATAAATCACTGAAATAATTGTCAGAATTGTTTTGTATCATTATCTCAATACAATGGTTAATCATGAACTGATGATGAAGAAACCATTAATAAATAATCAGTATACTGTTTATAGATGTATGGTGAAGTTGTAATCTGGTCTTCAAAAGCACAAACACGCACGCATACATTGCAGAACAAACTACTAACGGTTCAACACCTGTTAAAATTTATGTGTAAACGCATTAATACATAATTTGCAAAGCTTTCTGCATCCACTAATCTAGTGTAAACTATTTATGATTTGTAAATTTGTTGCATATAATTTGTAGATCTCTCTTACCTGTTACAAATGATGTGTATAAGTATTCAAGTCATTTACTACACTTTATGCATCCCCTGATCTAAAGTGTAAACTACTCTATTTGTAGATCTTCTTTATAAATTATGAACAAACTGCAATTTATACATGTATAACTTATTTGCCATATGCAAAGCTTCTGGTATACCTTTCAGTTACACATCTATACAAATCCCTTATTTGATATTTAAATGATAAGTATAGTTGACTGTTATATAGAATAGATCATTATCTTTGAGCCCCTAACTAACCTCTATACTAAACGTAACCACTTTTCAGCCACTTCACAAAAATAAAAACGTAATATAGCTTAATTTATAGTGACAATTATCTTAGTTACAATATACTATTGTGTGGATCATTTTAAACTCCCTACTTCACCCTATAACCCTAAAGATAATCATTTTGACAATATACAGAATATAACAGGCAGATAAATGTACAGTCACAGTAATTCATTTAAAATATGACAAAAGGCAGTATAAAGAATAGACAAGCTACATTACCAGTGCTCTGACAGCAAAACAGAATTAACAGAATTAAAGCTGTTAGTCGCTGCAAACATTCCCCTGATCCGCATGTCCATCCTCCAAAGAGTCGCTCTGCATCTCACTCGAACCATTACTTTGTAGTTTGAACTGCAATGTAAGTGCTGACTGGTGAAGGTATAGACAGCTGTCTTCTCTGACACACATGGAGTCTTTAAACCCTGTGCATCTGCATGTGAGCTTCAGTGGAAGGTAAAACTGGTTCTGAGGTTCACATTATCGCTAGATCCACACAGAACACAAGTCAGTGCTGAGGAGTGAAAGGATTTAACGTAACCCACTGGAGGCCCCTGACTGCGAGTTATTTATAAATGTTTATCCACTTGAAAACAAATACATTACTCTTCTTAAAAATTCTGCTTTTGCATACCTGCATGTTAGTGCTTTTGAACACAGACCAGATTACAACTTCACGATACATCAATAAACTATTTACTGATCATTTTATAAATGGTCTGTTCATCATTAGTTCAAGATTAACCATTGTTTATTGAGATAAAAAAAAACTATTTTGACAGTTATTTCAGTGATTTAAACGTGATTAATAATATATCAACTAATGACATGTTACACATCTACTAATGATATGATTATATCATGATTTACATTTTTTTAAGATAACTTACAACTCATTTGTAAATCGTTTAAAAATGTATTAATCATTTATGAATGTAGTTGTGTTTTGTAAATAATTAGTTAAATATCAGTTACATAATTAGTCTTTCTCAGCACAGCTTTTGGCAGAATAAACAGGTTGAAAATAAATTAGTAAACACATTTTTTTATATATATATAATTAAAATATTGTTATTCATTAAAATGTATAAAGCATATATTTTTCCATTTTATTAACTTAATATATAACGTAGTCAATACAGTTAGAAAATAAGTGAATTTTTCTGTCTGGAAAAGTAAAGATTTAGTTCTGTCAAATCAGTCACATCTAACATAAAAGTTGTGTATATATATATATATATTATAGTGTGTGTGTGTGTGTGTGTGTGTGTGTGTGTGTAAATATACACATACACGCATATTTTTATTTTTTATGCATACAGTAAATGGGTGTGCACACACACACACATATATATATATATACTCAGATATATTGTATAAACAAAAACTTTTATGTTAGATGCGATTCGTTGACATCAGATTTGACAGCACTATAAAGATTTAAAAAATACATTTTAAAAATTAAAGTTTACCAAAAGATGTGTAAATTTGATGGCCAATAGGTGCTATTATCTGGAATATATGTGTATTATTCATGTTTGACCAACATATCTGCAGTATTTTGTACAAAATAAGTTTTCAAAGTTTTCAAAGAGCAAACAAGAGCTTTAACAAGTCTAATAGGAAGTTTGTCTCTTCGTTACAGGACAAAACATTTCTGGACCCGTGAATCAGAATCAAGGGTACATGTCACAGGTAAAAATCCTGATAAATGTACATATATACACCATAGCTGTCATGAAAATATTCAGATTCTATTGTTTTGTTCATAGGGTCCATAATGAAGGTCTACACTGAAGAATAATCATCAGCTGTGGAACTCAAGGATGCACTTTTGGGTTCCAGCCCACTGAGTCCAGTGATTACATGACTAAGGGATCTCTCAGCCAAACCCATGCAGTTCCTCTGGAGAGGGTCAGAGGAGCGTCTGTGTCTTCATATACAGTAACATCTGTGGTTACAGAAATACATTGAGGACATAGGGTTCTTGAAATAATCTGTAAAGGGTCTGGTGTCCTTTCGTCTTTGAATGAAGCCGTTGAACAGCTGAAGCACAGCTCCCTATGCTGACTCTTGGGATTTGTGTTATTCCCCGTGGGGCCGGGAACATGATGGAATGGGTGCTGAGCAAAGGTGCTGTGACCCATGGAAACATGAACTTAAACTGTCACCACAGCTGGCAATGTCAGTAAATTGTGTAACACATAACACCGCCCCCAATTTCCCACCTCCGTACATGCAAAATTATTTGAATCATTTAAGTGGCTTTTCACAATTCATATGTTTGGGATAGAGAGCCGGACACTAGTGAAGATGTGGGAAATGTTGTAAATTGGAAAGTGAACAGGTGGTCCCATTGGGCCACAGCCTTGATTTATCCCAGATGGAGATATATTGATGTTTTAAGTTGTTTACTCAATATCTCTTCCAAAACTGTATTCAAAATTGTTGTAAAACTTTCTAATAAAAATCAATTGTATTTGTATACGTCAATGCATTTTTATTAATGACTAAAATATACTTAGTCATATAAATTACAACTAAAAGTATGGAAATATGAGCCAACATCTCTTGTTGCAAAGCAGGACAGTGGAATTTGACAAGATGAATACCATCTTCTTTTACCATGAGTGCGCAGGTCTGGCAGCAAAGCGACAAATGTTACCAGAAGTGGCACTCGGGGAATTAGGTCTCGAGTCCTCAAGAGAGACATACAGAGCCAACAACAGGAATAAATCACTTTTCCAATACCATCTTGTGTCTCCAAAACCACATTTCACACATAAAAATGACATGAATCCTAAATAATACTCGATTTTATTTAGTCTGTCTGGTGTGACATTTTGTAATGAAAAAAAAAGCATTTTTATTTGTAATGGTAATGACATTCATATTCAATATTATACAACACATAATCTCATTTAAGTCAGTGATTTTAGCAGCATAAAAGAAGAGGTAACAGTTTTATAATTCATTTGATTCATCATATAACATGTACCAACATCAAAATACATGTTTCCCTGCTGCATACATTTCATACCAAAAAATAGTACTATATCACATAGTAATATCTTATAGCTTTTAACAACATATCTTGAAACTTAAAATAGCACTATGCTTGTTTCACCACTGAGAATTCAACATATTCCACCTTACTTTCTGTTTCTCACACACACACAGAGTCTGCCTTGGTCGACAAGAGGCCATCAAGTGCCATTAACATGTTACAAATGATTCACCAGTGTGTTTACAGTGGGGGTTTTTTTTGCTAGGAATTTACACAGTGATTTATTTGAAATCCAAGCCTTTCGACGGTGGTCCCCACCATTCCCTGCATTTAACACTTGTAAAAATAGATACGTCTTAAATTGTTTTTAAATTCTAGCTAAATATATAACTGTTGTTATGGCTGAATTGTGATAGATAGATGGATAGATAGATAGATAGATAGATAGATAGATAGATAGATAGACAGACAGACAGACAGATAGACAGATAGATAGATAGATAGATAGATAGATAGATAGATAGATAGATAGATAGATAGATAGATAGATAGATAGATAGATAGATAGATAGATAGATAGATAGATAGATAGATAGAAAATAACCCAGGCTAACTTACAATCTTCCAGTTACTTCAGTGTGAAATGGGTAGGAACGCAAGTTTTAGCATTAGCGTGGCTCTGCATGTGTTCTGTGAGCAGGGAATCCTGAGGGAAAGATTTACTGCACTGCCCACATACAAAGATCATGCCTTCCCCATGCTGCTTCTCATGCCTCTTGAGTGCTGCAAGGTGGCCAAACGGCATATCGCACCGCTGGCAGCAGTAAGACCGCACAGCTGCGTGAATACGCTGGTGTCGCACCAGTCGGGACGCCATGGCGAATGCAACCCCACATTCTGAGCACTTGTGTGGCCGCACTCCACTGTGAACTGTGAGATGTTCGGCGAGATTGGAGGACTTAGTGAAACCTTTGGAGCAAATAGAGCAGGTGTAGGGACGCACTCCGCTGTGGATTTTCCTGTGCTCTGTCATGCGACTGGCCAGGGCAAACGCCTTCCCGCACTCCGGACAAACAAATGGCCTCTCGCCCAAATGCGTACGCTCGTGGCGGAGAAGAGACAGGGGTTTGTTGAAGGTTTTGCCGCATTGCTTGCAGAGGAACGGCTTGTTGTTGGTGTGCATGTTGCGCTCGTGTTTCCGCAGGTCAGAGGAGCGCACAAAGTCCTTGCCGCATTCCTCACAGATGTATGGCTTCTCTCCGGTGTGCGTTCGGATGTGTTTGCGGAAGTCAGAGGACCAAATGTAGCTTTTCTCACAAAACGGGCACTGGTAAGGTCTTTCGCCCGTGTGCAGCCGCTTGTGCTGCTGAAGAGTCCCCTGGTGCGAGTATGCCTTCCCGCACATGTCACAAACGTGCGGTTTAAGACCGCGGTGAGTATCGATGTGGCTCAACAGGTTGCTGGACTTTTTGAAAGCCCAGTTGCAGTAAGTGCACTTGTGTGGACGGTTTTCCGTGCTTCCCTCCATTCCTCGCTTCTTAAGGGTCGCAAACACTACCTGATTTTTTAAAACCTGCTTCTGTGAAGATTTCAGGTTGTCCGCTACATTTCCCTCTAACTCACATTCATCCACCGCAGCTTCATGCTGATTTCTTGGAACTGTTGCCAGTTCACATGGAGTAGTGATATCCATCTCCTGTTTCACATTCACGTTGGTGATGCTGGTCGCTACCAAGCGCTCATGATTCAGTTGGGAATTATGATCAGATGCAGACTCAACCTCCACGTCAGCTTCATCCACTCTCCTTTCCTTTCCGGAGGATCGTTCAGAACTTTTCACATGAAGGTGGCAGGAAGCTTCAGTTCTTGAATTCTTAGTAATCATCTCTTGGATTCTCGTCTTATTGTTTTTTCTTTCATCGCAACAAGTAGAAGTGCTGATATCCTCTTCAGTATGTAGATTAAGGCTCATTTTCATGGTGTCAGCAATGTTACTCTCCTTAGGCAGATAATGCCTCTTGCTGATGAGAATCTTTCTAATACTTCGTTTTGATATGTAGGCATTATCTTTTAAAGCTGCTGGATTCCACAGGTCATTCATATTAGCCATTGTAGTTTAGTGCATTGACCTTTATTAGCCAATATAAATAATCAATGTTTGCAATGCCTGCCAAACATAATTAATAAGTTTAGTTGTCAGATTTATATACAGTATAATATCATTAAAAATACAGTTGATCTCAATTTTATAAAATGGATGAAATGTAAAGACAATACTTTAAACATCAAATAACATTATAAAATAATTGAAATTATTATATAAACTGCATATACAGCAGGTTCAATTCTAAGAGGCTCTTGTTTGCCTTATTTTAGGCTACGAATTAACTCTGGATTTGAGAGTAATGATGATATCCAGTATAAATTATATTAACTGGGAGAGCATCCAGTAGATCGTCTTGATCTTAGAGTTACGCAGTCCTGAGCCAGCAAAGAACAAGACTTTATTCTCAGCTGTCAGAGTGCATAGTGTGCACTCCAAAGAAACGTTCAACTATTCTACACATGCAAAGAGTCTCTTACCTTGGCAGCAACAAGTCCACCAATGCTGATTTCAAAGAGAGCAATTAATGCACTTCCTCTTTATGGTGGATTTTAGGCAGACGTTTAGGATACCATAGGAGGAGCCAGAGCACAGTTACACTTACTTCACATGGGGGAGTGCAACATATTCTGGCAGTGGTCAGCACTTTCGCAAAACCATTTGCTGTCGGGAAAGATCAGCTCAGTGACCCTTTCACCCATGACAGGCGTGAGGTACAAGATATTTCCCGGGGAACAGCACATAACATACATACATAGATGTGATTACAATCCACTAGGATTATATTTAACCACTATAGAGTATTGCTTTTTTTTAATTTTTTTTTTTTATAGTCTGTTGCAAAAGTATGATGCAATCATTCCCAATATTTTTAAAAGTACAAGCCATTTAAGTAACATGTGAAGGCCAAGTATGGTAACCTATACTCGGAATTTGTCCTCTGCATTTAACTCATCCAAGATAGTGCACACACATAAGGAGCAGCGAGTAGTGAACACACACACACACACACACACACACACACACACACACACAAAGCAGTGGGCAGCCATTTTTTGCTGTGGCTTATACTATATCTCTAATAGCAGTTTCTATGTTTGATGTTCACAGGTAAATTTTCACCGCGGCATTATTTATTTATTTATTTAACATTTTCTAAGTATGTAAGGCTGTTTTAGTGTGTCCATCTTCTACATCCTTTAGTTAATTTAATTAGCATGTAAATTTTGCTACTAATTGTAAATCGAGTGAGAGAATTAGGAACAGGAATAACCTGCTGATGCAAGACATAACTACAACCTGATACCTGTCTAGCAGCAGTGCATATAGATCAAAAAATTAAGAGTCAGAGGAAATATGAGAGGAAGAGAACATGCTGTAGAGCAGCTAGTACCAGACACCTGTTTGCTGCTTAAGGTTCAATCAGTGCAAATGCACTGGCAGGGGAATCCTGACAGTGAGGCTTACTCTCTACAGCAGTGTTTCCCAACCCTCACTAGAGGTCATATTTACAAGGGTCGTTTTCAATCCTGGTCCTGGAGACCCACAGCACTGCACATTTTGGGCCCTATCTTGCACTCGGCGCAAATGACTTTGTACACTTACGCATGTATCATTCCTATTTTGCACCCGCGCAAAGCGGACTTTTCCCTCCACAGACGCACGTCGGTTAACTAAGAAATACACTTGTGCTCCCCGGGGCGGTTCAGCGCAAAGAGGAGGCGTGTTCCGGCGCAAACTTTCCCTCATGCTATTTTGCTGTTCTATAAAACAATTGCGCCACTGACCAGAAAAAAACTAGTCTAAAGTCAGTGGCGTGTTGCGCGTTGTTCATTATGCAATTTTAAGGGCGCATGCTTGGCCATAATCAATGTAGCGTGTGCACAACGCGCATACACGTTGATTCTCTCATCTAAGCAGCAGTTTTCATTTTTGCAAATCATACATTATTACGATAGATAGATAGATAGATAGATAGATAGATAGATAGATAGATAGATAGATAGATAGATAGATAGATAGATAGATAGATAGAAGAAAGACAATTTATTATAAAAGCATGTAGCTTACACATTTACCCAAATTATCATACGCCTGTTTAACAGAAGTTAATTTGGGTGGGTTTCTCCATCCCCAATGTCACTTCTCTGACGAGAACGCTGCTCTCCTCGGCTGTGAACCGCTCCTGGCGCGCGCCTGGCAAATCCGCCGTTATAATAGGAATCCGCTTTAGAACAAGCGCACCTGCTCTTAAAGGGAATGTGAGATGACGCTCTGATTGGTTTATTTCACGTTACGCCCAAACCACACCTATGAATAATGAAGCTACTTCAGGCCAACCCCTTTTAGATTTGCGCCAGGCGCAAGAGGCATTTATCCCGCCGGGAAAATAGCAACAGCGCCGGGATCCGCCCACAAAGTTACTTGCGCTTTGCGCTTTGACACTTGCGTTTCAGATCGTTAAAATAGGGCCCTTTATGTTTATCTTTACTGACAAATTTCAATTCCTATTGACCTGATGATCTAGGCCTATATCATAGATGCACCTTCACTCTCTTCCATTGTAGTAAGCGCGAAGTGGAGCCGCGATAACAAGGCCCCGCCCAAACTCCCGCAGAATCGGTTAGTACCATAGACTGTAAAAAAAGGTTAACTACAGTTTATGTAGGTGTTAAATAAACAGTTATGGAAATGTAGAAATTAAAGTTTAAGCTCCAATCTCCTCCCGAAGATCCCGAAAAAAAGTCTGTTGGTGCTGCCTCAGTGACTACTTCACTCAGAAAAGCTGTCAATCTCCGCTGTCAATCATGACATCACATCCCTGTTTTTATAGTATCAAATAACTAGCAAAAACCAAACTTAAAGAACCAACACTTGAACTAACATCAGCGTGATAAAATCTGCCTAAAATGTCACAAACCATCTTTAGAAAAAAATAATTTGAAGTGTAATTTTGATTGGTTAGTTTGTCTCAAGTTCATTACGTTACATGGAGAAGGAGGGGTTTATGACCTATACTGCATCCAGCCACCTGGTGGCGATCGAGATGCTTTGGCTTCACTTTTCAGGACTCCTGTGGCAAGCTTGATTTGAATCAGGTATGTTTAATAAGAGAGACATTTGCTGCGTCCCAATTCGCATACTATCCGTCCTAAATATTCGAAAATAGAATTAGTACGTCCCAAATCGTAGTATGTTGAAATGAGTGTTCCAAAGAGACCCGGATGGTCTACTATATCCGGTCAGAATCCGAAGTGCAGATCGATGCACCATAGATATCCATAATAAAGGCTAGATGTCTTACGGCGGAGTCTCTATCGTCATCACCGTCGGCCATCTTGTCACAGGCAAGCTTTCTGGCGGGCTCTGTGGTACCTGATGTAAGATGAGTGATCAGCACGAACACAAATACTCTTATCTCGTTTAAATCTTGACGGATTTACCAACGGTTTGGTTTCTTATGAACGTTATTAACGTGGCTATAATTCTGGATGATTATTTACTTATTATTCATAAGTATGCAGTCATAACTACATCTCTGACGTTTATAAAACCGTTTGAAAATCGGTAGAAAATTGAGCAAGTTATGGTTATTTAAAAAGTACATGCGCCATTAAAACACAATGTTACGAGTGAGCGAGCTGCCTGTGACAAGATGGCCGCCAGGTGCGGACGTCGATCATTGGCCAGCAGCGCGGACGAGACATCTAGCCTTTATTATGGATATCTATGCGATGCACACTCTAACGGCTGATATTACCCACAACCCATCGCGCGTTGGACAAGGATTCTGTTAGAACTACAAACACGAGTGAAAAGTGTTTAAAAAAAAACTACAGACATGTAGAGAGGTTTAGATAAAGGGGTTTGAGTGATTAATTATCAGTATCTAACCTGACGAAAATGTATTTATTCAATGTTGGCTACATTTTATTGCTTCTGCAGCAGCATTGTGAACTTTTATAAAGATACGTTTAGCCATTAACTTTTAAATGCATCATTACATTCAAATTGCAAAGGAGAATCTCCGCATGAAAGACCCACGACTGGCAGATGAACGTGCTACAACATTTCTCTCCAAAATGGTAAGAAATTATATTAGATTGAATGGAGGATTTTAACTGTGACGAGATGATTGACAGGACAGTTTGCGGTGATAGGATGCACGCGACAGATCTGTCCGTTAAAGATGACGAAGTAGTATGTCCCAAAGCTTGCCTACTCTTTTGCTACACACTCAAAAGTACTTTTTCTTCACAAAAAGAGTACATACTTTTAGGGTGTAGTATAAGTAGGCGAATTGGGACGCAGCCATATCAGTGCTGTCTGGGTCTCCAGGACCAGGATTGAACGCTTACCGGTTTGAGGATAAACCACAATACAATTTGTGACGGTTAGTATAACAGTTTAATTTTCTAATCATAATTAAAACCGTATTTGATTATCAGGATTTGAAAAACTCACGGTAAATAAATACTGTCAGGCATTAAAGGTGCAATGTGTAATATTTCTGAGGATCTATTGACAGAAATGCAATATAAGCTCCATAACTATGTGTTCAGTGGTGTATAAAGACCTTACTCAATGAACCGTTATGTTTTTATTACCTTCGAATGAGACATTTATATCTACATAACCGCGCGCACCCCCTTCTATGAAGGTCGACATATTGTGACGTCATGTTTCTACTGTAGCCGACAGCGAACAAACAGCGCTACAGAGCGCGTTTCTGAACCTTAAAAAAGAAGCCGCAGAAAGCTAGAAGCTAGCCATAGACACCGTGAGTAGTGACTTTTCCCTTGTCAGTGGTGTAGCTAAAATATGTAGTTGGATTGTTTCATGTAACTTAGTTCTTCTCCCTCGCTGTGTTATGGCTTTGACAATCAGCTGATTAGTACTATTGACCGTAAAACAGTAATGTTACAGGAGTCACCAACCCGTCGATCGCGGTCGACAAGTCGATCTTGGAAGCATTTTAAGTCGATCGTGAAGAGTTTTCAAAACCAGAGAAAAAAGACAATATTTTTATTCATTATTATTTATTAATTTGTGTGTAGTAAATAGTGTCTAGGGGATGCGGAGGCGCGCGCGCTGTTACAATCACGTCATTTTTGCCGCGCACACCTTTGCGCTCATGCGGACGCGTCGAGTATAAACAATGCTTTACGCTTTAACCAGCTCAGCCACAGCCCTACAGCATAACAGCTCATATTAGCCAGCTAAACTTTTACTACCCTGTTAGAAAAAATATGTAGTTGGATAGTTTCATGTGGTTCTTCTCCCTCACTGTATTATGGTTTTGCTATGTGGGGAGAAATGTGTTGGTTACGTTCGTGAGACAATCAGCTGATTACTATTATTATATTATATATTAAGACCCTTGATCCTCACCTGACTATGGCTTTGTAAACTTTACCCATGATGTGGTTTATAATGGACTGTGGTACAGAAACTTGGCTTACTCTGGCTATTCTCTGCTGTCTCAGACGACGATATGTTTGTCCCGTTTTAGCAACCGTAGCTTCTTCGAAAGGGAGGGGTGAGCAGTGGGCTGAGCCATTAGTGCAACTCACAACCAAACCGTTAGATGCCGCTAAAATCTACACACTGCACCTTTAAGTTGGCAATGAGCAAATGTCTCATACAGGTGCAGCATGGGGTTTTTTTTGTGTGTGAAAACGTGGAGAAAAGA